GATCTTTTTCCCAGGACTTGTGTGTTTCATTGTGTATTATTATATTAGATCAATCTATTTATGATCTGTTTCCCAGTACTTGTGTGTTTCATTGTGTGTTATTATATTAGATCAATCTATTTATGATATTTTTCCCAGTGCTTGTATGTTTCATTGTGTGTTATTATATTAGATCAATCTATTTATGATCTTTTTCCCAGCACTTGTGTGTTTCATTGTGTGTTATTATATTAGATCAATCTATTTATGATCTTTTTCCCAGTACTTGTGTGTTTCATTGTGTATTATTATTATTATTATTATTATTATTATTATTATTTACACTTTGTGTGTATTACAAGAAGCATGTTTACTCTATGTATTTAAGAAAGCACGCGTGGGCATGTGCCCTAGCGTCAGTACCAGCCACTCACTCCCTCATTTATATCACAGACACCCCCCCCCCCCCCCCCCCCCCCCCCACGCGGTCTAGTGGTAGAGCGTCTGCGTGGTCCGAGGTCTAGAGATCTGGTCGGCTCGGGGTCAGTGTGGTGTGTCTGAGTGGGCTATCCACGTTACACTGCGGCTGGGAGTTCAGGTGGCTGGCATTATGAAACCGGCTTTAATCCGGACTAGTACAAGCAGCCACACACACACACACACACACACACGCACACACGCGCGCGCGCGCGCGCGCACACACACACACGCACACATACACACAACACACACACAAACACAAACACAAACACACACACGCGCACACACACACGCGCACGCACACACACACGCGCACACACATACACAAACACACACACGCACACACACAAACACACTCACACGCACGCACGCACGCACGCACACAAACACACACACACACAAACACACACGCACGCACCCACACGCACACGCACACAAACACACACGCGCACACACACACACACACACAATTCATGTACGCTGCTGCATAAGATACTTAATCAAGCACGCGACATCTAGCCTGACCTACCAAGTATTACATGTCAGTGTAATTTATTGTTATACGATGATGTAATGATATTACCTTGTTTATGTTGAGATTCAGTAGAAGTTCATAGCATTGTGTCTTAACAGTTATTAATTGTCAGAAATGCATTTCAATATAATGTAAGCCGTGGTGTGGAAGTTACTATATTTATATGATTTTGGAGTTAAGGCAAATGTAATCTGGAATTTTCTATGGTATGGAACTTTCTACAAGAGATTTAGACTATAAGGGGACACGACGTTCCTCTCAAGACCAGCGGCTGTGTGAAGATCATAATTTCACACTGGATATCCAGCTAGTCCTATTTTGGAACTAGAGTGAAGTTAGTAAACCTAACGTTAAAACGACCAGCCCTTTCCACAACCGGGAATACTCCTGCTGAAGACAGAGTCTGGGGCATGTGTGTGAAACAAAGCAATATTCGCGCTACGAATGTCGTAAGTATGGGAGCTACGGCCACTTTGTGGTACCGGCCCCAGGTTGTGAAGAGACCTCAGTTGGTAAAGAGAAGAGGTTGTTGTCATCCTCTCCACTGAATCTTGTCATTGTCTTCCCCACGGGCCTCCCAGATCATCCTCTACCGTCACGGTGTTTTTACCACTCTCTGTGTGCACGAAGCATATGGACAATGAATTGTTCGATTGACAGGATATTCTACGGATGACAACTTCTTCATTCTGTTAAGATGCGACGTATCGGTATAGATCCTTGCACCCGTGTCAAGCGAGAGAAAACGCATAAGCAAAGGGCATAACTGGTTTAATCAAGAATGTTGGGACGCACGTGCAACCGCTCGCCGTCTTCCCCGCGCATGTCATGATTCTAGCAGTGACAACAACCGACAACGGTACATTGACTCGTGGAGGTCGTACAGAAGCCTATGCAAACAGTGAGTGGGTATGGTTTTACGCCGCTCTTAGCAATATTCCAGCAATATCACGGCGGGGGACACCAGAAATGGGCTTCACACATTGTACCCATATCGGGAATCGAACCCGGGTCTTCGGCGTGACGAGCGAACCACTCTAACCACTAAGCTAGACGACCGCCCGCCTATGCAAACAGATAACGACATCTGTGTTTCAGTGTTATATCACAGACATTAACAATGCTTTATCAACGCATAATAGTAGACAGTTCTGGTCTCTCTTTTTTAAAAAAAACGTCATTTAAAAGTAATTCAATTTCACCGGATTCTTGATTATTGCATTTTAATTATTTGTTCCAAGGCACTAATTTGCTGAATGTGAGAAACAGTTTTATACAGATGTTCAACATTTTGTAGAAGCTTTTAGTGAAGAGTTGATTAACTCTACTGTAGATGACAATGGGTCAGATAGTAGAATAACATTAGATGAAATATTTAAGGCTGGTAATGATATGCCAAATAGATAAGCCCCAGGGTTTAGTGGTGTACCCATTGAATTTTTTAAAATATGCCCCTCCCATGTGTTTTGAAATGCTGTTATCCTTGTTTAATAAAATCTTATTGACTGGTACTTATCCAGAGGAGTGGACTTTAGGTGTCATTCTTCCTTTGCATTAAAAGGGTAATGTAAATGACCCTAGCAATTGCAGACCCTTTACACTTTTAGAAATATCTGGTAAAATCTTTTCTAAAATTATATGTACTAGACTCACCAATTGGGCAACTGGTGGAAATGTTATTATCCCTGAACAAGCAGGTTTCAGAAAGGGGTTTCAAACTGTGGATAATATATTTATACTTCAAACTATTATTGATAAATATCTAAGATTACATAAAGGTAGACTATACTGTGCCTTTATTGATTTAAAAGCAGCCTTTGACTCTGTGTCACATAGTGCTCTGATGTACAAACTTTGGACTGGTAATATTAAAGGTTCTATTTTTAGATTACTTAGAAATATGTATGAAAATGTGAAATCATGCGTATCTCTGAATTCTGGATTTACTAAATTCTTTGACTGTTCATTTGGTGAGGTGAGGTGAAATGGGGTTTAACGTCGCGTCCAAGATTATTGCACTTATATAGCGACGTGCATGTACGTGTATGTGTTTGTGTGGCTGCTTGTAGTAGTCCGGACTGATGCCGATTTATAGTGCTAGCTCACTGGGATACCATGCCGCAGTTGAACATGAATACCCAACTCAGACACAGTATACTGACTCCGAGCCGACCAGTCCTTGTTTTAGCCCCTTAATGCCGAGCGCCAGACAGGGTAACAACAAGTACCATCTTTTAACGTCTTTTGGTATGACGCGGCCGGGGATCGAACCCCAGACCTTCCGCTCTCCGGGCGGACGCTCTACGATAAGACCACGGAGGCGGTCCACTGTTCATTTGGAGTTAGACAGGGTTGCCAGTTGTCACCATTTTAATTTTCATTCTTTATTAATGACATTGTAGGATTTGTGCGACAAGATAAGCAATGGTGTATTAGTATTGGTACTCTACAGTTTTTATGTTGTTTTTTGCAGATGACAAAGTAAGAGATAGTACAGTTATTGGTCTTCAAAAGAGATCAAATTAACTTTCCCAATATTGTGATAAATGGCAGCTGCAAAAAAAATAACGTCAAGAGCAAGGTAATTGTCTTCCGCAAAGGCGGTCGATTAAAGAAATATGAATCTTTTTCTCTAAATACATGTCCGCTTGAAATTGTTTCAGTGTATAAATATTCAAATGTACATCTTTCAAGCTCTGGTTCATGGTTTAATACACAGAAAACTTTAACACTCCAGGCCAACACTGTTTTGCAGTCAATAAAATCAAACATTATTGACTTTCATAAGTTACCTTTACTTGTTTTGACTCATTTATTTGATGTCAAGCTTCTACCAATCTTGTTGTATGGCAGTGAAGTCTGGGGGGTTCATCCTTCACCTGATATTGATACATTCCATGACAATTTCTGTAAACAGCTTTTACATTTAAGACGGCGTACACCTAATATTATTGGAGGGGGGGGGGGGGGGGTTTGATAGGTCGTTATTCACTATAAGTAAACCAATATGGGGGGTTGATAGGTCGTTATTCACTATAAGTAAACCAATATATGAAAATTATTAAATATTGGACTAGATTGTTATTTCAAACCGATAATCCTATTTTGAAACATGTCTATGATTATCAAGTGTCCTTGGCGGATAAAGGTTTTGAATGTGTTGGGCTTTTCATGTAAAACAAGTATTATCATCATATGGTTTTGCTTCTGTCCGGTGTAATCAAGATGTTCCAAATGTAAATAAGTATATTGTTTGTTTTAAGCAAAGATGTATAAATATAGATCAGCAAACCTGGTTAAGTAAATTAAAAACATTTTCCAAACTTACAATGTATTCACAAATTAAACCATGCATTGTATTAGAAAGATATTTAACATCAATACCTGTCAGAGTATATCAATTTGCTCTTAGTTCTTTCCGTTGTTAGGAGAAGGTAGAAAAATTGGTCTTTCTAGAGATGAACGCTTATGTCCATTTTGTGTAGTCCGTGTAATCGAAACTGAGTATCATTTCTGCATTGAATGTCTTATACCTAAGTATTACCATTCACAACCTTCATTTGATAGATTTTGCACTCATATGTCTTGCCAATGTAAACATGTTATTAATAAATTAGCTGAATATATCTTCTTGCGTTTAAGAAACGACAACAGTTTTTCAAATGTATGCAATAATTCAATTGTTTCACTATGTATATCACTTGTATTATTTGGCGCCTGCTAGTGTTGTAATTCACTGTATCCATATTGTATAATGGGCCGGTGGCCTTTTACTTAAATAAACTCACTCATCCAAGTCAAGCGAGAGAGACAATGTCGGCAATGTTTCTGCTTAGATCACCATAAAGGATGCAAGTATTAATCCGCGTTCTTTTACCAAATGCAACCAGACTCAATAATTAGGTAGTCCCCTGTGTTCATGCTTGCAAGGACTCTTTGTTCAACATACTGTTGTCTCGTGTTCTCTTTAGTATTGTTAATTACGTGATGTACACGTAAAAGAACGTTGTTTTTAAGAACACGCTGACGAACAAACAGTAGAAAGACGACATCACCGCAGTCGCTTGCTGAAGGTGGACAATGAATTGTTTTGGACAGAGTGCTAACACGTATTGACATGGCGGAAAAGAGGCCTGCCTATGAAGCAATGTCATTTGCTCTTATTAAGTGGACTTTCATCCTACAGGCCGTCACTGCTCATGGTCAACAAAGTAAGTTCTTAGGTAAAGATTCTGTATATACATGTACACAGTGCCATTAAAGTAAGGCTTGCATCTCAGCTAGTGAGACTTACAGTGTTGGACTAGAGGCTTGCAGTTACGCTAGTGAGACTTACAGTCTTGGACAAGAGGCTTGCAGCTCAACTAGTGAGTGAGTGAGCGAGTATGGTTTTACGCCGCTTCACACATTATACAGACTTACAGTATTGGACTAGAGGCTTACGGTTCAGCAAGTGAGACTTACAGTATTGTACTAGAGGCTTGCAGTTCAGCAAGTGAGACTTATAGTATTGGACTAGAGGCTTGCAGTTCAGCTAGTGAGACTTTCAGTATTGTACTAGAGGCTTGCAGTGTAGGTAGTGAGACTAACAGTATTGGACTAGAGGCTTGCAGTTCAGCAAGTGAGACTTACAGTCTTGGACTAGAGGCTTGCAGTTTAGGTAGTGAGACTAACAGTATTGGACTAGAGGCTTGCAGTGTAGGTAGTGAGACTAACAGTATTGGACTAGAGGCTTGCAGTTTAGGTAGTGAGACTAACAGGATTGGAAATCAGGTTAACAATTTTGGAAGTGAGGTTTACAGTTTAGGTAGTGGGGTGTAGAGCGTAGGAAATCAGGTTAACAGTTTTGAAAGCCAGATTAACAGTTTAGGTTTGGGGGTTTTACAGTTAAGGAAGTGAGGTATATAGATTAGGTCGTGAGGTTTACAGTATTGGAAGTGAGGTTTACAGATTTTAAAGTGAAGCTTACAGTTTTGGAAGCGAGGTTTACAGATTTGGAAGTGAACCTTACACTAAAGGTAGTGTGGTTTACATTGTAGAAAGTTAGGTTTACAGCTTAGGTCGTGATATTTACAGTTTTAGAAGTGAGGTTTACAGTTTTGGAAGTGAGGTTTACAGTTTTTTGGAAGTGAGGTTTACAGTTCTTGCCGTGTTAGTTTTACAGTTTTGGTAGTGAGGTTTACAGTTATAGAAGTGAGGTTTACAGTTATGGAAGTGGGGTTTACAGTTTTGGTAGTGAGGTTTACAGGTTTGGAAGTGAGGTTTACATTTTTTGGAAGTGAACCTTAAAGTTTTGGTTTTGAGGTTTACAGTGTAGAAAGTGAGGGTAGGGAGGTTTACCGTTTAAGTAGTGATATTTACAGTTCTTGAAGTGACGTTTAGAGTTCTGAAGGTGAGGTTTACAGTTCTTGAAGTGACGTTTAGAGTTCTGAAGGTGAGGTTTACAGTTCTTGAAGTGACGTTTAGAGTTCTGAAGGTGAGGTTTACAGTTCTTGAAGTGACGTTTAGAGTTCTGAAGGTGAGGTTTACAGTTTTTCGAACTTAGGTATGAGCCCGTATACCGTCAGTAAAAATCCAAGATGGTTGTTACTGGCCTAATATGAGACCGTATACAGTCAGTATCAACAGCCATTTTGGATTTTTCCAACACCCAAGTCACATGTTTCACATGAAAACTCTGGTACAGAAATTCGTTATTCGACACAGTCTTGTGTTTTAATATAATTAATTGTGATGCGCAAATACATTATTTTATAAAGAAACCACGTTTGTGATTTTATTGATAACAATTAAAAAGAAAATAGCTAACAACGGAGCTCGCTGAGTTACAAAATGCAACGGCACAGCACATAATATAGGATGACGTCACAAGCAAGACGCGTGATGCCACGTCGTTAGGGGAAAGCGGGCTAGCGCTGCTATTGTTCAAGTTGCTCGCAGATTTCTGTTTTATGAAATTTATATTCATTTAGCTCTAATCCTTTTTTGAACGTTCACATTCAGTGCATTATTCCATTGTAAACGTTTATGTTTACATTAAAGCGTTGTATCGGAAACATATGTACTGGTCCTGTTGTCTGTACCGGTTGTACGTTTTCACATGACATGTCATCTTCCCGAGGCAAGAGAGTTCACTGACTTTAAAAGTCCAGTTTCCACCCTTGCTGAACTAGGCTGGAATTCCTGGGCTCGATGGTAGCGCCACCTGTGGCTGTTACGAGTTATGTCCCTTCTATGCCTCTCCTATGGACCAATCAGATTCCAGCTCTCGTATCACTTGCATTTGTTTCAAACAAAATGGCTGCGCCCAGACAAGACCATCTGATCGACAATCAAGATCTATATTTTGATAAAACGGGTCATACATCGCGAAGTGCGTCAAATCATTTTGATTAAAAACTTGAAAAGATTTGGAAAATATCTGTTGACAACGAGTTGGCGGTGCACATGCTTAGCAAATCCTGCAATCGACCGAACTCTGCATGACAGTTTACGAACCGGATTTCGATTTCGGTTCACGATTTTGATTGGACTTTGCATAGACTCGTTAGTCCAGCCAAAATGTAACTCCATAATACCAGCCTAGTTCGGCAAGGGTGGAAACTGGACTTTTATAGTCAGTTAACTCCCTTGCCTCGGGAAGATGATGACATGTGCGATAAAGAAATCAAACAGCAAATTCGTTATGGTGTCTTTCGTTGTCGTATACGGTGTCATATTAGGTTAGCAGAAAAAAGTCACGCCTCGACTGTTATTTTTCTTGATTTTGACACTTTAGTGTAAGGTCGCCAAGTCGCTGTAACCCATCAGTAGTCTTGATTATCAATAGTAATAACACGTAAGCTCTCTACTCCTGCTTTACTGCAGTATTCCTGCCTCGCCTGCAGCGTGATGAACTCAGCCGGGTGTAGCCAATATGTTCAATGTGTCCGGAACAGATTTCTGCCGACACAATGTTAATGATCGGCCCCCGAACATGGAGCTACACTAATCACGGGGCGATTGATCAGAAACCATGCTTTAAGAAACCCCAAACAGCCAGTAAATCAATGATCAACTGCGCCAGGCCATCCGAGGTTATGTTACTGACCAGATGATTAGATACCCTCTGCATGCAGTTAAGCAGCATGCTCGGCGACCATGTGTTTTACATTGTTGTGCATGATATATCAGAGATACTGAAAAAACAAGAATAACTTGCTTAAATATAAAAACATCTAAACAATCACAATCGTTTCATGATTGATATTAAAGGCGACAATCACAAAATACTAAAATGATTCTATAGTGACCGATGCTACTAAAACATGGTTTGGAAAACAACCAAAATGTCAGTGTAATATCTTGGCCAATGCCATTCCCAACATTTAGCTTCTCTGTCAGGTTTCTTCAATGTAAAATATACGGCTAGTGGCTAAGCGACTGGTTAAATGGGAAGTTGTACATTCTCTGTGAGAATGGGTGACCACCGTTCACATTCCAGCCAGACGCCAATGCTTTTTAGAGCGTGTAGTGAAGGAGGTAGAACTTTGGGCCGTGAAGGACTAAAAGAAACACATAGCTCTTCTTTTCTTGCCTCTAACTTATACAATAAATTACAGACTATTGGATATCGAGTTCTGTATTACATAATATTCTGTATTTACAAATACATTCGATATTGATATCTTTTTTGCAGACATATTGCCACGTGACAGCCCTATAATAAATGTGTGTAGACGAACAGAATCCTTATTATGTCCTACCTTCACTGTAGTGAGTGAGCGAGTATGGTTTTACGCCGCTTTTAGCAATATTCCGGCGGGGGACACCAGAAATGGGCTTCACACATAGTACCCATGTCGGGAATCGAACCCGGGTCTTCGGCGTGACGAGCGAACTCTTTAACCACTAGGCTACCCGACCGCCCCACCTTCACTGTAAGAAATAGTAATAATGTTAGGGACTTTAATACATTGATAGTTACGGACGGCATTAATTCAGCTAACTTAAAGACATTTTGAAATTGATTGATAAATGGGGGTATGTATATACAACATACACTGTGATCAACCGGCCTATGGACACAAAGAGGTGCTTGGCGAACTGACTGAACTGATACTGATTCAATACCTGACTCAGATCAGTCTCATTTACTCAACTGATTGTCTGAAGCACTTAAACATTCGTTGTCAGATCTTTGACGAGTGAGCATGCTTTGTGAGCACCCATTGGTTTCAGAAATGCGCTTCAGTAGTTTTAACTGTGGCATAACAGTTGTTAGATGAATAAGTCATAAGCGTTTACTTGCGAGTTGTGCATCAATATACTCTCAGGAATATCAGATGAACTTTCCCACGAGTGAACAACAATGATGATGACATTGAGTAGGACGGTATTAAAGCACTGAACACAACCCTCTATAACAACAGAAGACTGAACACCACCTCGTTATAACAACACTGAACATCACTTCATTATTACAATAAAACACTGAACATCACCTCACAGAATACTGAACACCACCTAACTATAAAAATGGAGCCAAGAACGCCAACCCACTATAACAATAGAACACTGAACGCTACCTCTCTATAACATTATAAAAGGTTTTGAACATCACCTCTATTCAACATTAAAACACTTATGGTGACTTATTTCAGATGAGGTTAAATCTTTTGATGAAAAAAAAACATGTGTTGTATTGCGAAAAGACCATATTATGTTTCTAAAAACAACTACTGAACGTTTTCGACTATTGACAAATCAACAAAAATTCAAGATGGCCTCCAATATCAAGATGGCCGACAAGTTTCATAAAACTGACGTATGTGTTTGTCGAAATGTTGGTCATACATACAATATATTATTGTGTCCATCAGAGGAGCTGCAGTGTGGCGAGCCCGGCCCCGCCCCCAACACGCACCTGCAACTGGAGGACGGGGGACGAACTCTGCACTACGCGTGCTTCTACACCTACACACATCTGTCCGGCACCCTGACGCGCCGGTGTGACAAGGGCAATCTGACGGGAGAGGCCCCAGTGTGCCAGTGTAAGTACGCTGATTTATTCCAACGTGCATATTAACACCATAAAACTTCAAAATAAAGTCCATCCTCGATTATCAAGTGTATCACATCTCCATTCTGTTAGTATACATACCCCGGACCAATTCTGTTAGGACATATACCATGGACCCATTCTGATAGGACATATACCCTAGACCCATTTTGTTATCATATGTACCCCGGGCCAATTCTGTTAGAATATATACCCCGGACCCATTCTGTTAGAATATATACCCCGGACCCATTCTGTTAGGATATATACCCTGGACCCATTTTGTTATCATATATCATTCTGTTAGAATATATACCCCGGACCCATTCTGTTAGGATATATACCCCGGACCCATTCTGTTAGGATATATACCACGGACCCATTCTGTTACGATATATACCACGGACCCATTCTGTTAGAATATAATATACCCCGGACCCATTCTGTTAGGATATATACCCCGGACCTATTCTGTTAGGATATATACCCTGGACCCAATCTGTTAGCATATATACCCCGGACCAATTCTGTTAGGATATATACCCCGGACCCCTATTGTTATTATATATACCCCGGGCCCATTCTGTTAGGATATATACCCCGACTTAATCTGTTAAGTTATACCTTGGACCCATTCCATTGTGATATATTCCCCGAACCCAATCTGTTAGGATATATACCTCGGACTAATTCTGTTATGATGTATACCCCGGACCCATTCTGTTGCGGTATATACCCGGACCCATTCTATTAGGATATATACCCCGGACCAATTCTGTTGTGGTATATACCCGGACCCATTCTGTTAGGATATATACCCCGGACCAATTCTGTTGTGATACATACCCTGAATCCATTCTGTTATGATATATACCTCGGACCCATTCTGTTGTGATATATACCTCGGACCCATTCTGTTAAGATATATACCTCGGACCAATTCTGTTGTGATATATACCCTGAATCCATTCTGTTAAGATATATACCTCGGACCTGTTCTGTTAGGATATATACCCTGGACCCCTATTGTTATTATATATACCCCGGGCCCATTCTGTTAGGATATATACCCCGGGCCCAATCTGTTAGCATATATACCCCGGACCAATTCTGTTAGGATATATACCCCGGACCCCTATTGTTATTATATATACCCCGGGCCCATTCTGTTAGGATATATACCCCGGCTTAATCTGTTAAGTTATACCTTGGACCCATTCTGTTGTGATATATTCCCCGGACCCAATCTGTTAGGATATATACCCTGGACCCAATCTGTTAGCATATATACCCCGGACCAATTCTGTTAGGATATATACCCCGGACCCCTATTGTTATTATATATACCCCGGGCCCATTCTGTAAGGATATATACCCCGACTTAATCTGTTAAGTTATACCTTGGACCCATTCTGTTGTGATATATTTCCCCGGACCCAATCTGTTAGGATATATACCTCGGACTAATTCTGTTAGGATATTTACCCCGGGCCCATTCTGTTATGATGTATACCCCGGACCCATTCTGTTGCGGTATATACCCGGACCCATTCTGTCAGGATATATACCCCGGACCAATTCTGTTGTGATATATACCCTGAATCCATTCTGTTATGATATATACCCGGACCCATTCTGTTAGGATATATACCCCGGACCCATTCTGTTATGATACATACCCTGAATCCATTCTGTTATGATATATACCCCGGACCCATTCTGTTATGATATATACCCCGGACCCATTCTGTTAAGATATATACCCCGGACCCATTCTGTTGTGATACATACCCTGAATCCATTCTGTTATGATATATACCCCGGACCCATTCTGTTAAGATATATACCCGGACCCATTCTGTTATGATACATACCCCGGGCCCAATCTGTCAGGATATGTACCTCGCACCCATTTTGTTATGATATATACCCCGGGCCCATTCTATCCGATATATACCCCGGGCCCATTCTGTTATGATTTATACCCCGGGCCCATTCTGTTAGGATATATACCTCGGACCCATTCTGTTAAGACATATACCCCGGGCCATTTCTGTTATGATATATACCCCGGGCCCATTCTGTTATGATATATACCCCGGACCCATTCTGTTATGATATATACCCCGGACCCATTCTGTTAAGATATATATCCCGGACCCATTCTGTTATGATATATACCCCGGACCCATTCTGTTAGGATATATACCCCGGACCCATTCTGTTAGGATATATACCCCGGACCCATTCTGTTAGGATATATACCCCGGACCCATTCTGTTAGGATATATACCCCGGACCCATTCTGTTAGGATATATACCCCGGACCCATTCTGTTATGATATATACCCTGAATCCATTCTGTTGTGATATATACCCTGAATCCATTCTGTTATGATATATACCCTGAATCCATTCTGTTGTGATATATACCCGGACCCATTCTCTTAGGATATATACCCCGGACCCATTCTGTTATGATATATACCCTGAATCCATTCTGTTGTGATATATACCCTGAATCCATTCTGTTATGATATATACCTCGGACCCATTCTGTTAGGATATATACCCTGAATCCATTCTGTTATGATATATACCTCGGACCCATTCTGTTAGGATATATACCCGGACCCATTCTGTTATGATATATACCCGGACCCATTCTGTTAGGATACATACCCTGAATCCATTCTGTTGTGATATATACCTCGGACCCATTCTGTTATGATATATACCCCGGACCCATTCTGTTATGATATATACCCTGAATCCATTCTGTTATGATATATATCCTGAATCCATTCTGTTGTGATATAAACCCTGAATCCATTCTGTTATGATATATACCCTGAATCCATTCTGTTATGATATATACCTCGGACCCATTCTGTTATGATATATACCCGGACCCATTCTGTTATGATATATACCCGGACCCATTCTGTTAGGATACATACCCTGAATCCATTCTGTTGTGATATATACCTCGGACCCATTCTGTTATGATATATACCCCGGACCCATTCTGTTATGATATATACCCTGAATCCATTCTGTTATGATATATACCCTGAATCCATTCTGTTGTGATATATACCCTGAATCCATTCTGTTATGATATATACCCTGAATCCATTCTGTTATGATATATACCTCGGACCCATTCTGTTATGATATATACCCGGACCCATTCTGTTATGATATATACCCGGACCCATTCTGTTAGGATACATACCCTGAATCCATTCTGTTGTGATATATACCTCGGAGCAATTCTGTTATGATGTATACCCCGGGCCCATTCTGTTATGATACATATCCCGGGCCCTGTCAGGATATATACCTCGGACCCATTCGCCACCTTGGTTACCTTATGAACCTGGTTCGAATGCTTGCTACAATTAACCGTCAAATCATCAATCACTATTTTCATGATTCAAACAATCACCAGTACTCGACGTTTTGGAACTGGAAACGTCTTGTAGCACAAGGAACTCCAGGAAAAGGTTTATTATATCGGTCCCTTGATTCAATTTAAAATATCGAGGCTTCGATCGTACAAGGCTAGGATGTTGAATGTTGATCTGTTTTCAACTCGCGTGTTGGTATGTTGATTTGTGGTTGACTTCAAGCGTTTGATTGTGCTTTTGGTGCTCTGTGTCAACTGAGGTTGCCACAAGACTTTGCAAGATTCAACCCAGTTAACACCGGGGTTCAGCGAGCATACCCTGTGGCTGTACCCGAATGAAATGCTTCAACTGCACCATTAGATTGTGTACAAAATGGTTGCCAGGAGAAGGGGAAACACTGCTGTCATGTGTATCTTACCGCTTTCACTTATCCATTCATCGATTGTATCTTGAACATTCCCTTATCTATTGATCATTTGTTATCTCACCTTTTTCACAATTCCATTCATCCATAATATCTTGAAACATTCAAGTATCCATTCATCGTTTATTGTCTCACCACATTCCATTTTCCATTGATCGTTTATTGTCTTTCCACTTTTCTCTTCCATTGTATATTATCATACCACCATAAGCCATGTTAGAGAATGGATATACGATTGTTATAAGCCATGTTAGAGAATGGATATACGAATATTATAAGCAATGTTAGAGAATGGATATACGAATGTTATAAGCCATGTTAGGGAATGGATATCCGACTGCCATAAGCCATGTTAGGGAATGGATATACGAATGTTATAAGCCATGTTAGAGAATGGATCTACGACTGTTATAAGCCATGTTAGAGAATGGATGTACGACTGTTATAAGCCATGTTAGAGAATGGATATACGACTGCCATAAGCCATGTTAGAGAATGGATATACGACTGTCATAAGCCATGTTAGAGAATGGACCTACGACTGTCATAAGCCATGTTAGAGAATGGATATACGACTGTTATAAGCTACGTTAGGGAATGGATACACGACTGTCACAAGCCATATTAGAGAATGGATATACGACTGTTATAAGCCATGTCAGAGAATGGATATACATGTGTACGACTGTCATAAGTCATGTCAGGGAATGGATCTACGACTGTTATAAGCCATGTCAGAGAATGGATGTACGACTGTCATAAGCCATGTCAGCGAATGGATCTACGACTGTAATAAGCCATGTTAGAGAATGGATCTACGACTGTTATAAGCCATGTCAGAGAATGGATGTACGACTGTTATAAGCCAAGTTAGAGAATGGATATACGACTGTCATAAGTTGTGTTGGAGAATGGATCTACGACTTTTATAAGCCATGTCAGAGAATGGATGTACGACTGTTATAAGCCATGTCAGAGAATGGATGTACGACTGTTATAAGCCATGTTAGAGAATGGATGTACGACTGTTATAAGCCATGTCAGAGAATGGATGTACGACTGTTATAAGCCATGTCAGAGAATGGATGTACGACTGTTATAAGCCATGTTAGAGAATGGAAGTACGACTGTAATAAGCCATGTTAGAGAATGGATGTACGACTGTTATAAGCCATGTCAGAGAATGGATGTACGACTGTTATAAGCCATGTCAGAGAATGGATGTACGACTGTTATAAGCCATGTCAGAGAATCGATGTACGACTGTCATAAGCCATGTCAGAGAATGGATGTACGACTGTAATAAGCCATGTCAGAGAATGGATGTACGACTGTAATAAGCCATGTTAGAGAATGGATACACGGCTGTCAAATGCCATGTTCGAGAATGGATACACGGCTGTCAAATGCCATGTTCGAGAATGGATACACGGCTGTCAAATGCCATGTTAGAGAATGGATGTACGACTGTCATAAGCCATGTTAGAGAATGGATACACGGCTGTCAAATGCCATGTTCGAGAATGGATACACGGCTGTCAAATGCCATGTTCGAGAATGGATACACGGCTGTCAAATGCCATGTTAGAGAATGGATGTACGACTGTCATAAGCCATGTCAGAGAATGGATACACGGCTGTCAAATGCCATGTTCGAGAATGGATGTACGACTGTCAAATGCCATGTTAGAGAATGGATGTACGACTGTCAAATGCCATGTTAGAGAATGCAATAGATCACAATGAGGCGATGCACATTCACACGTTGATGTTGATGTTCCAGTGGACTGTGGTTCCCCACTGATAACGGACAGGGCTGTGTCCTTCACCTCTCCCTACACCACTGCGGGATCAACGGCGACGTACACCTGCCCCGGCGGTACGGCGAACGCCAAGTCAACGTCGCTCTGTGATCCTGTGAGAGGAGAATGGGCTGACGCAGACAAATGTCACGGTATGTATTCTCTCTTTGTACTAGTGGAGCCGAGTCGGGGAAGTGTTCCTCACACCTAAGACACGGGTTCTGTTCCTCACGTATACAGTGACTTTGCTTGAGACCAATAGCATCAGGACATTTTCATGCTTTAAGCCACTTTAGAAAAGAAAACATTCTATATCAAAACCAAATTTTGAACAAAAATCTTGAGAACATTTTATTAACAATAAGTCAATGTCCAGGGAAATGAACCGATCTGAACCCCAGCAGTGGCGACAACAGTCTATAATAACTATCTCATGATTACCGAATGTGGTCTACAATTATCGAACCTTTTAATAAAATTGCCTACTCCCTCTCTGACTTTGAGGAAGAATTCATTTTCTTTAACATCCAATCCTTGTCTTTAAAGGACATTAACCATTAACCATAATGCCTCTCCACGGCACCTCTCATGGGTTTGCTAGCACTACGTGCATGTCGGTGTTATGCCGCACTTATCGATATTCAGGTTGTGTCGGATTGATTGTAAATGACCGGATCTGGGCGAAGGGATGGTCGACATCATGAGCACTGTCCAAGGCTGACGGGTTACTATGACAACACAAGGAGTGACAGCGTCCTATCATCCCCTCCGTCGACACTTACAGGCCCATCCTTACCCTGGGAATCTCCACACGGTCACTCCGGGCGTTATGAGGGGGGCTAGTAGTTATGGCATAGACTCATCATGCAGAATCGGTAATATCAAGTGTTTACAAATGCTTAGGCATTTTATTTACATAATATTAGTAGAGAAGGATATTTATATTTGAGAGCCATACGTTACTTCTCAGTGACGATGTTTGATTTTATTCCAAGGTAAACTGACCCTCACAGACATACACAACATAACACAATCGTCCTTAGCGCTCCGACATGACGTCATCACATCCAACAGCGAGACCAGCTCCTCAACCAGTGTCTCGGACAAAGCGTTGTATGGAGCTTACAACGCCATAGACCCAATGGATGGAATGTACCTCGCGCAAAGCCACTGTAGCAGCACTGCAGCGGAGCACAAGCCAAACGTCATCATTGCTCTGAAGGCTGTATTCGACGTGCTCCGTGTGGTGATCACCCTGCCTAACGACACCTATGGTGAGAACTTAACGTTAACTGTCTGTCTGTCTGTTTGTCGTTAACTGTCTGTCTGTCTGTTTGTCGTTAATTGCCTGTCTGTCTGTTTGTCGTTAACTGTCTGTCTGTCTGTTTGTCGTTAACTGCCTGTCTGTTTGTCGTTAACTGTCTGTCTGTCTGTTTGTCGTTAACATACTACTGACGTTGACGTTGTTAATCGATTTCCCATAATGCAACTTTTGGCCAAGAAGTTTAACATAAGCTTCAGATGTATCGATTTTTAGATGTTTTCAATAATGGTATAATAATAATATTCAATATTCAATAATAGCCAATTCCTTCCACTGATTTGCTCACCTGAACCTGACATAAAGGAGTCCAATGAGTCCCTATTTTGACTTCCACCCCATGTTCCCGTGCTTTTTCGGGTGGACAATTGACTTGCCTTTGCATGTGTTTGTGACATGTGCCAACGGTAGGCTCATCTTTTGGCAAACACCTGGCTGGTATCATCATGTGATAATGATTCATAAACACATGCTCATGATATGGTCGGAATGGTACAGTAGACTCTTGTAACTAACTTAGCCTGGACCACAACACTGTAAGCAGTAGTCCAGCTACACCACACACAGAACACCAACCCACCGCCCTGAGTAATACTTGGTCTATATGAGCTCCAAGAGGCTGACAAAATATTACCCCGGTCAACGGATCAGTCCGCCCTCAGTGCAACTCCTTGGGGAGTATGCAAACCAGCTGCCCTGACTGGAAGAGTTTGCATTCACATTACAAATCCTACCGGGTACCCATTCACTGCTGCCAACCCAAACACGAAGGAGAGATGACATGTTTTGTATGACCTTTTTGTTTAACCTGCTATATTTACAGCCTACACTTTGGACAACTTCTGGGTGTATGTCAGTCCGCTGTCTTCCGGTGCAGGCTGGACTTTCTGTGGCCGACGCAACCGCAGGCTTGAACCCGGTACAACAATTATGTTCACGTGTAGTCACAAACGCGTTTTTCTTGGGAGGCGTATCAAGCTGCACACTGAGTTCCCCCCGGACCGCAAGGGGATGCTGCAGCTCTGCGATGTCCAAATTTACGCGGCCACCCCGTCAGGTAGGATTGTTTTGATTGTTTGTTGTTATGACAGCAGTCTGAAAATAATCGCGCCTGGACCAGACAATCCAGAAATTGGCATTATGAGCATCGATCCATGCAATTGGGAAATGATGACATGCGTCAACCAAGTCAGCAAGCCTGAACATGGATCCCGTCAGTCGCCTCTTATGACAAGCATGGGTTGTTGAAGACCTATTCTCTTCCCGGATCTTCACTGGTATTATTGTGTCCCACTGTAACATTGTTCAGATAGACTTAAATAAAGATATACCAGTGTTTTCAACGTGAAGCTATTTTACTTGAAGATTTGAAGCACTATTTCATTATTTGAAACTGAACGGTCAGGTATGGCAGCTTACATTCAGTTGAGTGAGTGAGAGAGTTGTGGTTTACGTCATTTTGGGCAATATTCGAACAAAATGGGTCCTAGAAATGGGCTTCACACATTGCACACATGTGGGGGACCCATGTAACCCATATCTACACCACCAGTCTACCACACTAGTCCATTGGAATTTCCTATTTTACCCTATCGTCCTTCAAGATCGCTGGCGGTCATAACAACTGCCGTCATCCTTCACTACCAGCTGTGATGTGGTCCTATCATACGTCTTTAACTAGAAAGTAATATCTCTCACAATTTCTCAAGTTATTTCTGAGTTTCCCTTACGTTTTTTAAGAGCATATTTAGAAAACCCCTATTAATTGAATAGTAAACTTTAAATACCTGTGAATTTGATGAACTAAATTTAATTTTATTAGGATAATATTGAGAGATTATCACTGCTCTGGGTAGAATAATAAAATCTGCATCGTCGAGATACTGAAATAATTAAATTGCCGTTGTGTTCATTGTAATTCCTGCATTCGGATTAGCTGAATTGGTCACGTGTTATTGTATTCATTTCCAAATGAATGTAAAAAATTACGCCACGCCAATCGCGGGTTCGTACAGTTTGCAAATCGGGTTTTCGATACACCTCAATGAACCGAAACAATCCACAGTCAGTCCTTGATTGAGTCAAGTTCTAAATTTGACATTCGGTTTTCCCAGTGGACTGCGGCAAGCCGACTCCGGTGTACAAGCTGGCTGTTCCTGTCCCTCCAGTGACGACTGGCCGCGGCTCCACGTGTAATTACACATGCGAAGGGGGCTTTACACGGATTGGGGGATCTGGTCATTCTGTCTGTGAACAAGGCGGCTACTGGTCAAAACCGACACTGTTGTGCACTGGTGAGCAGATACGAGTGAGTCAGGGAATCAGGGAGTTAGCGAGTTAGTGAGTGAGTTGGCATAAATGAATTTCTGACCTAGCTTTGAACTTTGACCTTCACTTATCTCCGGTTATCTATTGTTACTGACAGTTCTGGGTTGGTGTATCTGATCCCCGGAATCATGTCTCCAATTTCACAGAAATCTGATCCAACTTTAAACATGGCTGTCATACTGATATCATACTGCCCAATGTACGATCAGTATGAAATTTGAAATTTGATACACGAGGTACGGCAAACAACACCAACACTCTGTATACTTTTCTGTTTTACTTTGCTTGTAACAACTTCAAACTTTGATCTTTTTTTGCTCTGCTAATACTTGGGCGCTGTAACCAGCTAGTTATAGGTATTACATCAATGTGTAGTGTTATGAACAGGGTGTGATATGTCTGTTATTTATTCTATGTTACATTGTTTGCTCCTGAATAACCTTTCTGAACTAAACTATTTTTTGGAAAAAGTACCAGGTGAGCTACAGAGCATTGCGTATTTTTCAGTAACAAATAAGAGGTATCCATTTATCATTTGCTTCTTGACGCAGATGAAATCAATTACGCCTACGGCAACAAATCGTGGATGGCAGCTTCTCGCGATGCCAGCATCCCCACCACCGTTGCCCACAACATCACCGACAAAGACAGGTCCACGTGTCACCTCGTTACACAGACAACCAGTGTGTTATTTACAATTGACTTTGAGCAACTGGTGGAAGTAAGTGATATATCACTCGTTATACCAGGTAAACCAGGGATTCATAGCTGCCTTTGTTGAATTACTCGAAATCTCGAAATCTGATTAGTCAATAAATGTAGTAATGGCTCTATGTTGAAACACGCAAATATATATATATATATATAAACACCTTCTCGGAATCACATTGCATTACTTGGAGTTATTCGGTGTTCAAGGTACGTACCGTGTCCATATTAAATGATGTTGATAAAGATAAGGATTACTTCGCCTTAATGTTTGTTTTGGTAGTTAAAAAGTTAAAACTTGTGTGTAATCATGTAACTAAATAAACAACCTGGGAAAGAGCTTCCTACATAAATGTATTCCTTGATGAGTGAAATACTGGAATACAGTATTTGACCACCGTATGACTTGGAATATTTAAGGATACTTTGGGGGTTTTTTAAAATGAAAATAAAAAGGAAACGTGCAGAGACCTTTATTATGATGCGGACGGTGCCTGAGAACAAAGATTTTTTTTAGCCTTATATAGCACCCTTTTCAAACTTGTGATCAAAGGCGCTTTCAGTCACAATCTTGCGCAAACAGAAGAAAATTCAGTTGTGCCTTGAATAAGTTCAGATTGTCACAGTTTCTGATGATAAATGGAAGGGACTTCCACAGAAACGGTCCAGCTTTCTGTATGGAAATCTCTGTCGCCGTGTCTTTGATGGTCTTGGAACTGTAAGCTGTGCTTGATCTGCTGCCCGAAGACTTCACGTTGGCTGTAGATGTTGGTCAGTTCTTGCAGATACAGTGGTGCTGTACAAAGCATTGTCTTAAAGACCAGGGCCAGAAGTTTGAATGCGATCCGCTGCCGCACAGGCAGCTAATGGAGAGGCCTCAGAACTGGAGTGGTGTGTTCATATCTGGATGTGTGCGATATAAGCCTGGCAGCTGCATTACGGACGCATTGCAACTTGTCCAGCTGATTCTGTTGGAAGCCATAAAGCAAACTATTACAACAATCTGCCCGAGATGTTACCATGGCGTTGACTTTCAACAAAGGACCTCTCAATCTAGCGACATATCTGGAGGATATGTTCTGATTTTATGTTGGTTGGTTGGTTTGTTGTTTAACGCCACACTCAGCAATATTCCAGCTATATGACGGCGGTCTGTAAAATAATCGAGCCTGGACCAGACAATCCAGTCATTGATAATATGAGCATCGATACACGCAATTGGGATCGATGGCATGCATCAACCAAGTCAGCGAGCCTGACCACCCGATCCCGTTAGTCGCCTTTTACGACAAGCATAGTCACCTTTTACGGCAATCATGGGTTGCTGAAGACCTATTCTACCCCGGAATCTTCACGGGTCTGTTCTGATTGTAATAGGGCGACATGCAAATGGCGTTCACGTGCCTATCCAGATTGCAGATTACAATTATTACACCACCATTCCTGTCATGACTCTTCATATGACTTCTAAGTTGCCTATCTCCAGGTTTGTGAGAGTGATCTTTGACTAAAGCTGTCTGGCACTGAGAATCAATACTTCAGACTATCTTCATGTGGCCTAAGAAAATTATGATGCTTCCACAGTCTGATGTCATTTACACAGCTGGTGATGGCTCGCTGGGTATTGTCAACTGATGCTCAAACCAGAAGTCTGAATCCGAGAAATAGCTGAGTATCATCAGCGTAAAGATGCAACGATAGGTTGTGTTTCCTCGCAACCTATCCTACTGGTATCGTGTAAACAGTAAAAAGAGTTGGTCCGAGCCGTGACCTCTGCGGAACCCCATGCACACGTCCTGTCGTGTTTGAATTCCAATGATGTAAGTTGCTGTGGTGCTGTGAATGGCTCTGGCTGTTCATTCTTGAGACAGATATGACTTTTTGAAGGTAATAGCTACAGAAGCTTTTCATTTGGTTATTAGCTTTTAAAACTGAGATATATATATATTGCGATTATTTAAGTTTATTCCAAAGAGATTGTTTTTAATATGCTCCTTGCGCTACTATTCACATGATGTCCCATGTCAACTATAATACATAGAGCGGTAACCTTGGGGTCAGGGTGACCTCACTGTACAGAGTTTAATCCCATGTCAACATTGAGAGGTAGCCTTCAGGGTGACCTCACTGTACAGAGTTTTATCCCATGTCAACACTGAGAGGTATCCTTCAGGGTGACCTCATTGTACAGAGTTTTATCCCATATCAACATTGAGAGGTAGCCTTCAGGATGACCTCACTGTACAAAGTTTTATCCCATGTCAACACTGAGAGGTATCCTTCAGGGTGACCTCATTGTACAGAGTTTTATCCCATGTCAACATTGAGAGGTATCCTTCAGGGTGACCTCACTGTACAGAGTTTTGTCCTTTGTCAAAGCAGAGCAGTATCCTTCGTGATCAGGGTGACGTCACTGAGCAGGGTTTCGTCCTTTGTCAAACGTAGAGCGGTATTCTTCGGGGTCAGGGTGACGTCACTGTGCAGAGTTTTGTCCTTTGTCAACGTAGAGCTATATCCTGGGTTTTGTCAAACTGGTAAACACCTGCAACGCTTGCCGGAATATTTTCAGTCAGTGCTACAAAACATACACTTTTCTTTCTCAGAAAGGACGAGCCAAGTGTTTGGATCCACCACGTATCAGTTTTCAACAAATGACTGTTTCCATCATTTTCGGAAACAGATTTTTTAAAAATAAGATAAAATCGAATGGACAGAAATACTGTTCAAAATCCCTCAGTGATGCTAGCTAGTGCCATGTCTATCTCGTTCTATATCTCACTAGGCAATCACTGGTTCTGTTCCTGTGCGATATTTCAGATGTCTACAGCGTAGGGGCAAAGATAATCCTCTCCGTGACCCGAGACACGGCGGACAAGAAGACATGTAAGGAATGGTCGCCGGGCGAGGATGCCCTGGGGGTGACACACTTTGACTGTTTACAACATCCGGTCGGTCGATACCTGCTCGTCGAGGCATCCTTCCGGGCTCCGAGGGACTTCCGGTTGTGTGACGTTTGGGTTGGAGGCCGCAGTTTTGTCAGACGTGAGTCGGCGTGTTCCAATGATTTGTCAGTGGGTAGGGTTAACGCCGCTATAATATCACGGCAGGGGGACAGCGGAAATGGGCTTCACACATTGCACCCATGTGGGGAATCGAACCGACCCTTCGGCGTGACGAGCGAACGCTTTAACTAAAAGGATACATCCCTAGCTTTAAAAAAGTGAATATGAGTACCACTTTATAGTGTCATGCCAAATTGCCAATATTTCAATTCTTTAATATCAAATATCAGATATCAGATTAATATCAGGGTTTTTTTCTGGAATAACTCTAACGTCAGTAAATTAAATATGATATTATCTTGTGACAAGAAGGCCATTTTAATGAATTGTGCATAGTTTGTGAGAGCTCTTAAGTCAAGAAATGTCCATATGTATCGTACCCATCTGTCGCATGTTACCGTAAAACGAATCCTGCAGAATTTATGTACATGGGACTATAAAGATACACAATTATATGTCCCTAGCTACGAGGTGGTACCTATGGGCGTGTCTGTTTTCAGCCTATGAATGTTTCACGGATTATGGCTACAAGGGCACTGTTAACGTCACCGTGATGGGCATCCCTTGTAAGCACTGGGACGCCCAGCAACTCAACACATTCTCCTACGATCTCCCAGACTACAGTTTAACGGAAGCAGGCAACCAGTGCCGCTCCACGTCTGACAGAACCGCCCCCTGGTGTTACACGGAAGATCCCGGAGTGAGGTGGCAGTATTGCCCAGTCGTCAACTGCGGTAGGTAACTCCCAGGTACACTGGGACCGCCTTCGTGGTCTAGCGGTAGAGCACCCGCTCGGAGAGCGCAAGGTTCGATCCCTGGCCGCGTCACACCAAAATATGTTTAAAGATGTTACTTGTTGTTACCCTGCCTGACGCTAGGCATAAAGGAGATACAACAAGGACTAGTCAGCTCGAAGTCAGTATTCTGTGTCTGAGAGGGGTATTCATGTCAAACCATGGCAGGGTACGTCAATGGGTTAGCACTATAAAAGTGGCATTAGTCCGGACTGCTGCACGCACACAGTCACACGCATGTGTATCTTAACGTCAGTGGCAATAACCATGCAATAAAACAGTGCCTGAGTCAAAGAGTCAGTGTGAATATTGCCTGAAACATGAGACTGGATTTCAAACAGATTGGCTGAAAGGAATGAGACTTAATTTGATCTCCTTATCATGGATCTATTTTGATCTTACGAACAACTTCTGCAAGTAATTAAAACTGTTCCACAATGAAGTGATTGGTTTCTCAAATATAAAAGAATGATAGAGCCCTTTTTTATATTACTTATATCTATTCATAATTCCCTAATATGTATTCACATTTGCCTTATTTCTATTCCTTGTTCCCCGACATCACTTCATGGTTCTACGATCTATAGTCATATTTCCTGGATATCAATTACCCCAGTAACACTCACGAAACCTCGAACTCAGAAAGTCTTTACCGGGAAGGTACATCCCGTATCAAACCTGTATTTGATTAATTAGCACCTGTAGAACTGCTGGCAGTTTGTAAAACTGAATTCGAAACAAGTCAGAACTACATCAGATATATTTTATTTCTTTATTGATAGTGATGCAAGACAGCGATACTAGACAGCCTGTCGATAGCTTGTCTGAGTGCCCTCAAGGTTTATGTCATGGCGGAATCTGGAGAACCTGGTCATTCCGGAAGTATATTTAACTTCCGTTCATTCTTCTTCCAGAATGACTAGACTTGAGTGATTTCTCCTTCATTAACAATATTATAGTGGATTTATATTGTCTCTATGATTTTTATGATGAACTACAGTTGCGTCAGTTTTATTTGTTTAAAATGTTTAAAATGCACGTTCAGAATTGCTGGTGCATTCCTCGCTCAGTGTCGACCGCGAGAACAATAGCGTGACGTCATAATAATGGTTTAATTTCTGCTCGCCGTTTTCATGGTATAACAGTATGCATTCAAATAATGACAACACCACAATAATTCTGTTTATCATAATTTCACCCGAATAAGGATAGATTAATTGCAAATAGAGTAAGTGAATATTTTTCATAATCAAATCACGTTATCGTTAGACATGTTTCTAGTTTTCTATTTTTGATATTTGTCTGGCAGAGTCAATGTGTACAGCCACTGAGAAAGGAGTCTTGTACAATGGTAACATCAGACACTCGTCCACGGGCAGCGCGTGCGTGGTCTGGGGCAGCGATGACCTTGCCATCAAACAGGAGACACTCTTCCCTCGTTCCAACCCTTGGACACGGAGCTGCAGGAACCCTGGGGCGTCGCAGTCCAAGCCTTGGTGCTACACAAAGTCCGATGGCACTGACTACGGGCACTGTGACGTACCAGCATGCGGTATGTAGGCTTAGTGTCCAAACTCATTCCATTTGTATTAGGGGCCGACCATTTGATATTCTTAGGGTCTGGGAAAATAAATTTCCTAGAAAATTCGGTAATTTTTTTTGAATCGATAGCTGAATAAATGTCCGAGGTTCGAATCCCATCACGGGACTCGGAGATTTTATGTCCACTACATTAACATAGGCCGTGATATCAACTTCTTTGTTTAAAGAAATTTTGAAATGCACCTAATCCGCCTTCCCATAACAGGTGGTGCCTCCATGACACCCTATAGACACTGGACAGTCAACGAGACTCACGACTTTGATGGTTTACCCGGTGTAAAGGAATGCTTTGTCTGGAACAACTTCTTCAATGGCCGCGCGTATGATGGCAGTCGGTGGGCGGCCAAGACTCCCCACCACTTCCCCGGCGTCCCAAGCAAGGAGGAAGTGTGTTGGAAGGGACATGCGTACAATGCCACTATGGCATGCTGGGAATATGTCCGGGAGGAAGCGCACACTATCATCCTGGGCGTGGTGGAATGTGGTAGGTGATCAGTGTAATGGTGTACTCCAGGTCGTGGTGTGCAAGGTGGTATAACACTGGGTAGTTGTACTGGGAACAACAGTGAAGTTGTACTGGGAACAACAGTGAAGTTGTACTGGGAACAACAGGGTCGTTGTACTAGGAATAGCAGGGTTGTTATACTGGGAATAACAGGAAAGTTGTACTGGGAATAACAGAGTTGTTGTTCCGTGAATAACAGGAAAGTTGTACTGGGAATAACGTGGAATAACAAAGAAGTTGTACTGGAAATAACAGAGTAGTTGTTCCGTGAATAACAGGAAAGTTGTACTGGGAATAACGTGGAATAACAAAGACGTTGTACTGGGAATTACAGTGAAGTTGTACTGGGAATAACAGGGAAGTTGTACTGGGAATAACAGGGAAGTTGTACTGGGAATAACAGAGTTGTTGTTCCGTGAATAACAGGAAAGTTGTACTGGGAATAACGTGGAATAACAAAGAAGTTGTACTGGGAATTACAGTGAAGTTGTACTGGGAATAGCAGGGAAGCTGTACTGGGAATAACAGGGAAGATGTACTGGGAATAAGGTGGAATAACAAAGAGGTTGTACTGGGAATAACAGGGAAGTTGTACTGCGTATAACAGTGGAGCTGTACTGGGAATAACAGAGTAGTTGTACGGGGAATAACAGGGTAGTTGTACTGGGAATAAGAGGGTAGTTTTACTGGGAATAACAGGATACCTATACAGGAAATAACACGGTACTTGTACTGGGAATAACAGGATCGTTGTACTTGGAATAACAGAGTAGTTGTACGGGGAATAACAGGGTAGTTGTACTAGGAATAACAGGGTTGTTGTACTGGGAATAACAGGGTAGTTGTACTAGGAATAACAGGGTAGTTGTACTGGGAATAACAGGGTAGTTTTACTGGGAAAAACAGGGTCGTTGTACTAGGAATAGCAGGGTTGTTGTACCGGGAATAACATGGTCGTACTAGGAATAACAGGGTTGTTGTACTGGGAATAACAGGGTAGTTGTACTGGGAATAACAGGGTCGTTGTACTAGGAATAGCAGGGTTGTTGTACTGGGAATAACAGGGTCGTTGTACTAGGAATAACAGGGTTGTTGTACTGGGAATAACAGGGTAGTTGTACTTGGAATAGCAGGGTCGTTGTACTGGGAATAACGGTCGTTGTACTAGGAATAGCAGGGTTGTTGTACTGGGAATAACAGGGTAATTGTACTGGGAATAACAGGGTCGTTGTACTAGGAATAGCAGGGTTGTTGTACTGGGAATAACAGGGTCGTTGTACTGCGTATAACACGGTTGTTATACTGGGAATAACAGGGTCGTTGTACTAGGAATAACAGGGTAGTTGTTCTGGGAATAACAGGGTAGTTGTACTGGGAATAACAGGGCAATTGTACAGGGAATAACAGTGGAGTTGATTGTGGAATAACAGTGCAAGAAATTATTGTTTTATGAACGTAATCCGTCACCTTCACGTGTTTTTTTTCACAGTGTCGTGCGGGGACCCCCCTGTTATAAACAACTCTAATGTCACCGGCTTGACGAGCCACTACCCGGGCGGGGAGGCGAGGTATAACTGTTTGCCGGGCTACGCGAGAATCTCAGGGAGAAGATTGATCAAGTGTCAGAAGGATGGGGAATGGACTGTCTCTCATCTGAACTGCAGCGGTAAGTACCGATGTAACTGTTCAGAAACACAACATTCTGTCTCTCGTCTGAACAACTGGCACGTAAAATAGTTGTTCCATCCGTAGTATGTCCTGGATTTCACCGCTGAGATTGCCTGTCATGGCCTTCCGTAACTGACGTCACTTGATTTCCTAACAAGGTGGTTGTTATGGCTTTAACTGACGTGAGGAAGTCATGTCTTATTTTGCTTACTCCAAGACGAGGTGGTGTGTTATGGTGTGACACTGGATGTCGTGTTCTTGATTATAGCACTTATCTTGTTTATAGTGACGTGAAACCGTGCGTGCGTGCGTGCGTGCGTGAATGCGTGCCGGCGTGCGGGCGTGCCCAAACTCCCCACCTCATGACTGCCGAGCCTAAACTAAAACCATACTTTCAAAATCTACATAAGCCTGAATTTCAACTGAATAGTTTCAGTTATTGGTTTGTGCTCAACTGGTATTGGATGTTTTGTATGAATAGTACCTGGGTAGCACTCACTATCTGTGAGTGAGTTAACACCATTTGAAGAGTATTCCAGTTATAACATGGAGTGTCAGCTTTAAGTGGGAGGAAAGCTTGAAGTGATGCAGGTCTCAGATGTTTATCACTGTTTATCATGTTTACCAAAATCGGGAAAGCCACGAGCACGGGTCTGGTGCTGACACACGTGGAAACATAATCAGGGTAACTGGGATTCGAACCTAGGATCATAAGATTCTGGCACAACTCGTAACTCTTCAAGCGCCACGACGACTGGGCCACCCTCGCCCCTATTCAGATATATCTGGGTCTGGGATTTAAACCAGTATTTAGGTGGTATAATCATCAGTGTACCTCACAGTGCTTGTATGTCTTTGCATTGTGCAGCCGACTGTGGCCAGCCGCCGCCTGTGGACAACGCGGCAACAACTGTGACAGGGACGACGGAGAACCACACCGCTGTGTACACCTGTACTGCCGGGTTCATGTCTCTCCACGGCAACACCACCAGCAGCAGCATCTGCCTCAGAAACGGATCATGGGAACACCCCGACATCAACTGTACAGGTGAGTGAACTGTTACAGGTGGGTGTACAGGTGGGTGAACTGTTACCTAGGAGATGGACTGACATCAACTGTACAGGTGGATGAACTGTTACCTAGGAGATAGACTTACATCAACTGTACAGGTGGGTGAACTGTTACCTAGGAGATAGACTGACATCAACTGTACAGGTGGGTGAACTGTTACCTAGGAGATGGACTGACATCAACAGTACAGGTGGGTGAACTGTTACCTAGGAGATACACTGACATCAACTGTACAGGTGGGTGAACTGTTACCTAGGCAATACACATACATCAACTGTACAGGTCGGTGAACTGTTACCTAGTAGATGGACTGACATCAACTGTACAGGTGGGTGAACTGTTACCTAGGCGATACACATACATCAACTGTACAGGTCGGTGAACTGTTACCTAGGAGATGGACTGACATCAACTGTACAGGTGGGTGAACTGTTACCTAGGCAATACACATACATTAAGTGTACAGGTCACTCACTCACTCCTCACTCACTCACTCACTCACTATCTCACTCACTCACTCACTCACTCACCCACCCACTCACTCACTCTCACTCACTCACCCACCCACCCACCCACCCACCCACTCACTCACACTCACTCACTCACTCACTCACTCACACCTTGCATCAGAAGTACCCGATGGAGCTTGTTTGAATGAATGACGCTTTGATCAAATGTGCTTAAATACACATGCATCTATAATGTTGGAATAAAAAACTTCTCTAAGATATATGGCCATCCCACGGTGTTGCCGAAACACTGTGTGTATATAACGAGGTACATCATGGGGGTAACTCGCTCAGTAGACAGAACTGGTCACCTGATTTCATATTGTTTTGTTTGTATATCCTAAATTTGAGGTAACAATAATTCTTCTGGAAACAGTAGCTTCTTCTTTGAACAGCAGAGATTAATATCCAATGTTTTTATCCCCAGTGCAAACTGCTCAGTCAGTGGGAGTGACGGATAGCCCAACAGCGAACCAATCAGTTAACCCAACATCCAACCAATTAGTTGTCCCATCAAGCGACCAACCAGTTAACCCAACACCTAGCCAATCAGTTAACCCAACATCCAACCAATTAGTTGTCCCATCAAGCGACCAATCAGTTAACCCAACACCTAGCCAATCAGTTAACCCAACATCCAACCAATTAGTTGTCCCATCAAGTGACCAATCAGTTAACCCAACACCTAGCCAGTCAGTTAACCCAACGGCTGGCCAATCCGTTAACCCTACACCTAGCCAATCAGTTAACCCAACACCTAGTCAATCAGTTAACCCATCATCCATCCAATCAGTTATCCCAACAACCGACCAATCAGTTAACCAAACACATAGCCAATCAGTTAACCCAACGGTTAGCCAATCCGTTAACCCAACACCTAGCCAATCAATTAACCCAACACTGAGCCAGTCAGTTAACCAAACACCTAGCCAATCAGTTAACCAAACACCTAGCCAATCAGTTAACCCAACAACTGACCAATCAGTTAACCCAACGGCCATCCAATCAGTTATCCAAACAACCGACCAATCAGTTAACCAAACACATAGCCAATCAGTTAACCAAACACCTAGCCAATCAGTTAACCCAACATTCATCCAATCAGTTATCCCAACAACCGACCAATCAGTTAACCAAACACATAGCCAATCAGTTAACCAAACACATAGCCAATCAGTTAACCCAACAACTGACCAATCAGTTAACCCAACACCTAGCCAATCAGTTAACCCAACGTCCAGCCATTCGGACCTTGGATCATCAATTGTTACAAGTGCATCGACAGCCCTGTCCACCACGTCCACGCCGACACACACAACCACAGCAACTGTAATAACAGTGGATAGATATGGAAGAACGCGCCAAAGGACATGCGTGTGTCGATGTGTAGACTTCCGTCGACGGAACCTGACGCTGGAACAGAGACTGACGGACCTGCGCGTGGGAGTGGAGAAGAAGAACATGTATATCCTGCGGCACAAGAAGATTAGCGCGCCAGATCCCAGGGTCTCCTCCATGGGTGTGGGCGCGATGGGAATACTGCTCATGGTATTCCTGTTCGGGGCTCTGCTCATTCCCGATGTGATAAGCCTGGTGCAGTATGGGCTGAGGCGTGGACAAGTGGTTGATGCAATGTCGTAGGGCGGTAATTCTCCATACAAATATGGCTGGTCAAGCTAGTCGAGAGTTGACACATTTTTTGGATAACAACTTCATTATTTTACTTTAATGGTGATGTTTCGGTATAGATCCTTATACGGTTGCCAAAGTTCAATACTGAAACGTCGCCATTGCAGTAAAATAAAGTTGTTATCCATAAATTGTGTCTACTTTGTCATCCCTCAACTTCTAAGGAATGCCTACAAAACAATAATTGACAGTTCTTGGTTGTTATTGATTGCAATATGTCTCATGGCAACACTAGGTAATAGTATCGTTATTGGAAAGAAAATGACTATTTGCATCCAAAACATCGATAACGTTCTAAGAGTCACAGCCAAGCATACTGTAAATCATAAAATTTAATGCGAGAATGAAATTAATGCGAAACATGCGAGTGTCCTTGTTGGCATTAATAAAGTGAAGCATTTGTAGCTGGACATATTGGAGCATATTGTCACGTCAGGTTCACTGCACATGGGCGTAGAGTCAGGGAGTTGGACATATCGCAGCTTTTAACAGTATTCCAGTTTTATCACATATCAGCTTGATGTAGGAGGAAAGTCCAAAGTGATGCAAGTCTTAAACGTTTACCACTTTATTACTGGTAACATTGCTGACCGTGGTCCCCTCGTGGTATATTCTCCCTGCAGTGTTATATTGTACGAGAAACAACTCCCTCTTCGTTTATTTCATTTATGAGATATCAACATTATGTATGGTATCTTTAAGGATGAAGATAAAATGTACAAGCTCCAAAAATATTTCCCCGTATTTTAAAAATGACGACTCCCTCAACAGAATCCGACTTCGGAAATATCAGATAAGTCCATTTTATGTAGAGGTTGTTTTTTCCCGCATATTCTCACAATCCCCAAGACCATCACCTGTACCTTTTCTCCCAATACCGACTGTCATATCTCTCCTGCTGTTGGATTTGATTGTTCGACCATCGTGTTTATCTGCGTTACCCAGCTACATCTATGGGGAACAACTCGCTAGACACTTCCCTATCAAAAATAACATGGTCCAATTTACCTCAAGTTGGGAGGGAATGTTCGAATCTCCAGAAAGGACGTCAAGATAGAACACTGTATTATCGTGAAATAAACCACCCTTCGTTCTTCATTGTTCTTTGTGATTTATCGCCAAGCTATCTTATATATGAATATAAACAGCTGTGTATGAGTTGAATGGGGGAGTTGAGTTTAAGCCAGCTTGGAACAATATTATAGTCTTTACCAAAGACTGTGGCCTAGTGAGGTGAGGTGAGGTGAAATTGGGTTTAACGTCGCGTCCAAGATTATTGCACTTATATAGCGACGTGCATGTACGAGTATGTGTTTGTGTGGCTGCTTGTTCTAGTCCGGACTAATGCCGATTTATAGTGCTAGCTCACTGAGATACCACGCCGCAGTTTAACATGAATACCCCACTCAGACACAGTATACTGACTCCGAGCCGACCAGTCCTTGTTTTAGCCCCTTAATGCCGAGCGCCAGACAGGGTAACAACAAGTACCATCTTTTAACGTCTTTTGGTATGACGCGGCCAGGGATCGAACCCCGGACCTTCCGCTCTCCGGGCGGACTCTCTACCACAGGACCACGGAGGCGGTCTCTGTGGCCTAGTGACACAGGTCGGAGGAACCATCACTTGAGGGCTAGTGACACAGGTCGGAGGAACCATCACTTGAGGGCTAGTGACACAGGTCGGAGGAACCATCACTTGAGGGCTAGTGACACAGGTCAGAGGAACCATCACTTGAGGGCTAGTGACACAGGTCGGAGGAACCATCACTTGAAGGTTAGTGACACAGGTCGGAGGAACCATCACTTGAGGGCTAGTGACACAGGTCGGAGGAACCATCACTTGAGGCCTAGTGACACAGGTCGGAGAAACCATCACTTGAGGGCTAGTGACACAGGTCGGAGGAACCATCACTTGAGGGCTAGTGACACAGGTCGGAGAAACCATCACTTGAGGGCTAGTGACACAGGTCAGAGGAACCATCACTTGAGGGCTAGTGACACAGGTCGGAGGAACCATCACTTGAGGGCTAGTGACACAGGTCGGAGAAACCATCACTTGAGGGCTAGTGACACAGGTCAGAGGAACCATCACTTGAGGGCTAGTGACACAGGTCGGAGGAACCATCACTTGAGGGCTAGTGACACAGGTCAGAGGAACCATCACTTGAGGGCTAGTGACACAGGTCAGAGGAACCATCACTTGAGGGCTAGTGACACAGGTCAGAGGAACCATCACTTGAGGGCTAGTGACACAGGTCAGAGGAACCATCACTTGAGGGCTAGTGACACAGGTCAGAGGAACCATCACTTGAGGGCTAGTGACACAGGTCAGAGGAACCATCACTTGAGGGCTAGTGACACAGGTCAGAGGAACCATCACTTGAGGGCTAGTGACACAGGTCGGAGGAACCATCACTTGAGGGTTAGTGACACAGGTCAGAGGAACCATCACTTGAGGGCTAGTGACACAGGTCAGAGGAACCATCACTTGAGGGCTAGTGACACAGGTCAGAGGAACCATCACTTGAGGGCTAGTGACACAGGTCGGAGGAACCATCACTTGAGGGCTAGTGACACAGGTCAGAGGAACCATCACTTGAGGGCTAGTGACACAGGTCGGAGGAACCATCACTTGAGGGCTAGTGACACAGGTCAGAGGAACCATCACTTGAGGGCTAGTGACACAGGTCAGAGGAACCATCACTTGAGGGCTAGTGACACAGGTCAGAGGAACCATCACTTGAGGGCTAGTGACACAGGTCTGAGGAACCATCACTTGAAGGCAATGAAGTTATGGTATAGGCTGTAGCAGACTCCAATTGATTTTCATAAAATGTAAATAATGTAGCAAAAAACCTTAAACAAACAAATAAAATGAAAAACAATTAAACATTGTTTCAGGCAGTTATCATGCATTGGGAACACACCAGGGGAGAGGTAGGATTTGTTGTTATTATAATTGTTCCTATGGGAAATAGGGACTGCTTGCAGTCTAAGCGCCGACTGATCAAGCTTGATAATAGGTGAGGTGAAATGGGGTTTAACATAGCGTCCAAGATTATTGCACTTATATAGCGACGTGCATGCTTGTGTATGTGTGTGTGTGGCTGCATGTACTAGTCCGGACTGATGCCGATTTATAGTGCTAGCTCACTGAGATACCATGCCGCAGTTTAACATGAATACCCCACTAAGACACGGTATACTGACTCCGATGCCCAGCGCCAGACAGGGTAACAACAAGTACAATCTTTTAACGTCTTTTTGTATGACGCGGCCCGGCATCGAACCCTGGACCTTCCGCTCTCCGGGCGGACGCTCTACCACAAGACCACGGAGGCGGTCAGCTTGATAATAAGAATCCTGTTCTAGCAGATCCTGGAATAGCAAAGGGGAGCAATTCTTTTATGTGCATTCCAGCATCTTGTTCCACTGTGCTCCAAGGACAACAACATGAGTCAAGGGAGAGACATGACAAGGAGCTGACTTAGGTCCAGGAACAAAATCAAGTCACAATTCTCTGAAAAATCTTGTTTATTACAAAAATCTTTTCAAAAACATAAAATTCAACAAATACTATATATGAAACAAGCTCTTTTAAGCATAAACACATATACATGATACACCTGCATGAGACCTACTGGACAAGATGTTGAGACAGAATTCCAACTGCAACACAGCTGTCAGACAGTGTCAGACATCTCCACCTCATCACCAATATCAACTGACATGTCAGCATATAGAGAATCTGACCCGAGTGTCTTTTGATACCAAATATATCAACACGAGTTGATAAAAGTGGAAAAATTCCGAGGCTTGCCGAGGATTTTTGCCACTTTTATCAACGAGGGTGAAATTTTATTTATCACTCAACATCATTCTTCCAACTCTTTCAATTTGTAGACAGTGATTAGCAGTGTCTTAAGTGCAAAAAAGTACTGCTAACAGCTTCAGTAGCAGAGCCATTAGTGATGTCATTTGATTGATGGTAACCAGTGACATCACAATGGTCTGCAAAGCATTGTGATGTAATTTCATTGCAGCAATATCTACAGTGTAGATATCGCTTGTTATTACCCACACGGTGAAGATACAGGTGGTAAGATAATAAATCCGTACGTCACACGTGTGTCGTACAAGGTCAACCTTGTTTTATTTGTTTTGATTGGATAACCGTGACTTCTGTTACACCGGGACTATTTTTTTCATTCATAAAAAAGCGCGAGACGTCATTCATTAATGAGAACGAGCGATATTTACAAACACTTTATAAAACCATACAAAATAGTCACACAAATCAAATTTGGTTTGCATTATATATAAGTTATGCATAGAGCTTCTACAGACATTATATAATCGAACTATATCCATTTACAATGTACGACTACCGATCAATAGAGCCAGGGCCCCCATGAGCGTGACGCACCCGACCGCTGTCGCAACTTTCAATTTGATTTAACGTAAAAGGATAAGCGTGGTGAAATGAAGTCTGTTAAAACTATATCCAAACTTACTTGGGATGATCCGGTTTGTGCCATCAGTGTCCCCTTCGAGGTGTTTTTTGTGGTGCTGTTTCGGGAGGTGTTGTTCATGAATGAACGAACACGAGTATACTACCAGATCACTAAAAGTGAACAGTTCTGATACAAATCCTTCGAAAACTCCGTGGAAGTTTGCCTGACTTCTGATTTTGTGGCCCCAAACATTCCAAATGTGAACAATAACATTCCCTATCTCTAGCGTAAAACGCTGTGAGTAGATCACGGTCGATCGTTCGAAGCTGTCACTGACATGCAAGCAGACTTGAGTTTGTTGATTTTCACGTCTTCAGGGTGGTACAGAATGTCTTTGGCGAACACTTTGATTTCCCTCTTCCAAAGTGGCACGATCATGATATATATTCAGCTGATAGATCAAGGAAACCGAACCATTTTGATTGCACAGACAGGACACCGGCTGTTAGTCCAAAGCGCGGCGCTAATGTGACTTTTCAAATTTTCTTATAGGTGTCCTTCGTACTTACAACATGGCGCTTGAATTACCATAAGTTGCAGAATTTCTACCAAAAGGATCTTGAACGTCGGTGCTGTTTTGTTTGGAAACACAACTGCAGGCGCATGTTGTTAATGCGGATGCACAGAAATGTCAACAATGCCCATATTTGGGCATATATCAATATTCATACGCATCCAGATTTTGCAACCGGTTTCAGTTTGGTCTGTCAATTAACAAAGTTGTTATGTATTTACACTTAAATATATTTTTAACGTGGGTAATAAATAAAATACCACACTCATTCTCGTTAGATACCATTTTTACGAAACTCGTGAACTAAAGTCCACTCGTGTCGTAAAAATGGTATCTAACGTGAATGAGTGTAATATTCTCTATATCTAATCCAAGCGATATCTCCTGTGGGAGCCAGTTTTGGATGATAAATAGCAATTCAGTAGTCATTATAATTCATACCAATAAGACTATGACAGCCTTAGACTAAGGATTGGATAACTCAGTGCTGGAACCTGTTCCAGTCCCTTAAGGTTGAAGTGAGCATGTTGGGCAGATTGAGAGCAAATGTGTTAACCATAAAGTTAGGTAAGGCACTGTCAGGCCTATCAACATTGCTTTCAAATAAAGTAGGAATCAGACATACATTGACATTCTATCTGTGAGTGAAGTGGGTTTTGTGGTGTTTTCCAACAGTGTTTTGAACAGCCTGTCCGTCAAACACAACATGCAAGAAATGTGACAACTCATAGATGGTGGTATTAATTACAAAACCATAAGAAATATAACTACCACTACTTACGATTTTGATGGAAGCAAAAAACAATCCTCCATCTAATATCATTTTATGACATAAATCTATTGCTGTGACTCGCACTGATACAGGAGACAATGGTCACTAAAGTGAATAGGGCTAACACCGATATACAGCAGAAACATACCTATAACATGGCTTGACAGTCAAATATGTTGTCAGTACAATGACTCACAATCAGATATGTTGTCAGTACAATGACTCACAATCAGATATGTTGTCACAGTACAATGACTCACAATCAGATATGTTGTCACAGCACAATGACTCACAATCAGATGTTGTCACAGTACAATGACTCACAATCAGATATGTTGTCACAGTACAATGACTCACAATCAGATATGTTGTCACAGTACAATGACTCACAATCAGATATGTTGTCACAGTACAATGACTCACAATCAGATATGTTGTCACAGCACAATGACTCACAATCAGATGTTGTCACAGCACAATGACTCACAATCAGATATGTTGTCACAGTACAATGACTCACAATCAGATATGTTGTCACAGTACAATGACTCACAATCAGATATGTTGTCATAGTACAATGACTCACAGTGACAATCTGATATGTTGTCACAGTACAATGACTCACAATCAGATATGTTACCACAGTACAATGACTCACAATCAGATCTGTTGTCAGTACAATGACTCACAATCAGATATGCTGTCAAACTACAATGACTCACAATCAGCCAAATCACTATTTCGAATTTAAAGAAAAAAATAAACCCAAAAAGGACAGGGCAGTATATTCCCTGCAGCAGGGCAGTATATTCCCTGCAGCAGTTCCCCCCACATCTTGGACACTAGAGACGTGGCAATCGTGACGGCAACAGGGCAGTATATTCCCTGCAGCAGTTCCCCCCACATCTTGGACACTAGAGACGTGGCAATCGTGACGGCAACAGGGCGGAATGTTCTGTATCACATACATGGTTCTACAATACCAGGACGGCATCCATGTCACACAGACATTGATGGTTAAAATAATGACATATGATAAGGAACATATACCTTCAGCACAGGGCAATAACAAGACATTTGTCCAGTGGACGGGGCGAGGCGGACCTATTGTATATGTGGAGGGGCGTGAGGTGGTCCTATTGTATAGGTGGTGGGGAGTGAGGTGGTCCCATTGTATAGGTGGCAGGGAGTGAGGTGGTCCTATTGTATATGTGGAGGGGCGTGAGGTGGTCCCATTGTATAGGTGGTGGGGAGTGAGGTGGTCCCATTGTATAGGTGGTGCGGAGTGAGGTGGTCCCATTGTATAGGTGGCAGGGAGTGAGGTGGACCTATTGTATATGTGGAGGGGCGTGAGGTGGTCCCATTGTATAGGTGGTGGGGAGTGAGGTGGTCCCATTGTATAGGTGGTGCGGAGTGAGGTGGTCCCATTGTATAGATGGAGGGGAGTGAGGTGGTCCTATTGTATAGATGGAGGGGAGTGAGGTGGTCCTATTGTATAGGTGGAGGGGCGTGAGGTGGTCCTATTGTATATGTGGAGGGGCGTGAGGTGGTCCCATTGTATAGGTGGTGGGGAGTGAGGTGGTCCCATTGTATAGGTGGCAGGGAGTGAGGTGGTCCTATTGTATAGATGGAGGGGAGTGAGTGAGTGAATTTGATTTTACACTGCTTTTAGTAATATTACAGCAATATCCTGGCGGGGGACACCAGAAATGGGCTTCACACATTGTACCCATGTCAGGAATCGAACCTGGGTCTTTGGCGTGACGAGCGAAAGCTTTAACCACTAGGCTACCCGACCTCCCTGGAGAGGTATTAGGTGGTCCTACGCTACTGGTACATCGCTGGACACCCCTAGGACACCACTAGGGTATCACTAGACACCACTATGGTATCGCTAGACACCACTAGGACATCACTAGACATCACTAGACACCACTAGGACATCACTAGACATCACTAGACACCACTAGGACATCACTAGTCACCACTAGGACATCACTAGACACCACTAGGACATCACTAGACACCACTAGGGTATCGCTAGACACCACTAGGACATCAATAGACATCAATTGACACCGCTAGGACATCACTAGACACCGCTAGGACATCACTAGACATCACTAGACACCGCTAAGACATCACTAGACACCACTAGGACATCACTAGACACCACTAGGACATCACTAGACACCGCTAGGACATCACTAGACACCACTAGGACATCACTAGACACCACTAGGACATCACTAGACACCACTAGGACATCACTAGGGGGTATAGCTAGACACCACTAGGGTATAGCTAGACACCACTGGGGTATCGCTAGACACCACTAGGGTATAGCTAGACACCACTAGGATATAGCTAGACACCACTGGGGTATCGCTAGACACCACTAGGGTATCGCTAGACACCACTAGGGGGTATAGCTAGACACCACTAGGGTATAGCTAGACACCACTAGGGTATAGCTAGACACCACTAGGGTATAGCTAGACACCACTAGGGTATCGCTAGACACCACTAGGGTATCATTAGCCACCACTAGGGTATCGCTAGACACCACTAGGGTATAGCTAGACACCACTAGGGTATAGCTAGACACCACTAGGGTATAGCTAGACACCACTAGGGTATAGCTAGACACCACTAGGGTATAGCTAGACACCACTAGGGTATAGCTAGACACCACTAGGGTATAGCTAGACACCACTGGGGTATCATTAGCCACCACTAGGGTATCGCTAGACACCACTGGGGTATAGCTAGACACCACTAGGGTATCATTAGCCACCACTAGGGTATCGCTAGACACCACTGGGGTATCATTAGCCACCACTAGGGTATCGCTAGACACCACTAGGGTATCATTAGCCACCACTAGGGTATCGCTGGACACCACTAGGGTATCATTAGCCACCACTAGGGTATCGCTAGACACCACTAGGGTATAGCTAGCCACCACTAGGGTATAGCTAGACACCACTAGGGTATAGCTAGACACCACTAGGGTATAGCTAGACACCACTAGGGTATAGCTAGACACCACTGGGGTATCATTAGCCACCACTAGGGTATCGCTAGACACCACTGGGGTATAGCTAGACACCACTAGGGTATAGCTAGACACCACTGGGGTATCATTAGCCACCACTAGGGTATCGCTAGACACCACTGGGGTATCATTAGCCACCACTAGGGTATCGCTAGACACCACTAGGGTATCATTAGCCACCACTAGGGTATCGCTAGACACCACTAGGGTATAGCTAGCCACCACTAGGGTATAGCTAGACACCACTAGGGTATAGCTAGACACCACTAGGGTATAGCTAGACACCACTAGGGTATAGCTAGACACCACTAGGGTATAGCTAGACACCACTAGGGTATCGCTAGACACCACTGGGGTATCGCTAGACACCACTAGGGGGTATAGCTAGACACCACTGGGGTATCATTAGCCACCACTAGGGTATCGCTAGACACCACTAGGGTATCGCTAGACACCGCCTAGACACCATCAGGACGGAAGAGGGAGCTAACAGAGCAGCTCAATACAGACACAAGGGTTCTAACATACATGACATAAGCATCCCCTATTTCCTTGTTCAAACAATGGTACAGCTTATTTCACAATTCATCTCTAACAATCTCTGTCCTACTGTTTCAGGACACAGCTGATATTTGAGACAAAGGAGCATGAAAAATACAAATTTGAAATTCAGATTTTGAAGTGAAAGAAATAGGCCTGTTCAAGAAACACTTTCATATAAAAAGTCGATGAATTATGTCTAACAAGTTGTATTTACAGAATGTCATAACTTACTATTAAGCAGGATGTGGAGAGGGTGTTCACTAACTACTGATGCAGTAGACTGTCGTCTCCCCATACATCTTCCTCTCACTGATGCCCCGTACCTCCTCACAGGATAATCATTCTCACCACAGGCCAACGGTGTACTCCTGCATTCGCCCCTCACCACAGCAGCCCCCTGTCATCAATTCCCAGCTTTTTCTGCAGCTGCAGTGTGGACTGGCGGAACTGTCTCTCCAGGGAGCTCATCTCCTGCAACTCCTGGTCGAATTGCTCTACACATGGCGGAGGCTTCGTCGCGGCATCAATCCGCTGCTGCAGCTCTGCCGCTCGAGCTCGCGCCGCCAACTGCTCTGCCGAGGGCTGCTTACGAGTCCTCACCTCTGCTTCTGGTGCCGTCTGAGGCTCTTGTGCTGGTGTTGGATCCTCACTCTTAGCTCGCGCTACTGATTCTGCTTCGCTGAAAGAAAACCTTCTCTGGCCTTGGTCTCTGCGCTGTTGTCTGATGGTGGCGCTGTGGACGCGCTGTTTGTCTGTGCCGCTGTGTCGCCTCTGTCTCAGCTTGCTGCTGTTGTCTCTGGAGGACACGGGTCGAGTTGTCTCATACTTCAGTGGTCGCTCAAACCTCTGGGTGATGAAAGCTGCAAACAAACGTGATACGTGTAGTGACTGACCAGACTTAGTGACTCGGTGTCACCTCAGTCAGAGATAAACAAGAATCTCACCCATGGGTCATTAGGTATCAAACATATCAACACAATTTGTACAAGTTAAAAACTTAGAGGATTGCCGAGGAGTTTTCTGCTTGTACTGACAACTCTATTTATCATCCATGATCATCCTTTTGACTTCTTCAGTTACAACCAGTGTCCTCAGTGTAAAAAGTACAGCTAACCAAAATCAGTGGGAGAAGCACAAGTGGTCCTTTGATTGTGCCGTCATGGTAACCGTCGACATCACAACGGTCAGAGAAATACTGTGATGCAATTTCACTGTAGCAATATTTACAAAGACAAGTCGCTTGTTCTCACACAAGAGATATCTCCTGAGGGAGCTAGTTTTGGACGATAAATGCCGGCCTCTAACAAAACCAGGCCTTAAAAGTAGTGGTTGATATAATGAACAACATCCCACACTGGCTACTGGAGTACTGGTTGACAACACAGACTCACTGATCCATAGCTACTGGGCTACTGGCTGACAACACAGAGTCACTGATCTGTAGCTACTGGGCTACTGGCTGACAACACAGACTCACTGATCTGTGGCTACTGGGCTACTGGCTGACTACAAAGAGTCACTGATCTGTAGCTACTGGGCTACTGGCTGACAACAAGGAGTCACTGATCTGTGGCTACTGGGCTACTGGCTGACTACACAGAGTCACTGATCTGTAGCTACTGGGCTACTGGCTGACAACACAGAGTCACTGATCTGTAGCTACTGGGCTACTGGTTGACAACAAGGAGTCACTGATCTGTGGCTACTCGGCTACTGGCTGACTACACAGAGTCACTGATCTGTAGCTACTGGGCTACTGGCTGACAACACAGAGTCACTGGTCTGTAGCTACTGGGCTACTGGCTGACAACACAGAGTCACTGATCTGTAGCTACTGGGCTACTGGCTGACAACACAGAGTCACTGATCTTTAGCTACTGGTTGACAACACAGAGTCACTGATCTGTAGCTACTGGGCTACTGGCTGACAACACAGACTCACTGATCTGTAGCTACTGGGCTACTGGCTGACAACACAGAGTCACTGATATGTAGCTACTGGGCTACTGGCTGACAACACAGACTCACTGATCTGTAGCTACTGGGCTACTGGCTGACAACACAGAGTCACTGATCTGTAGCTACTGGGCTACTGGCTGACAACACAGTCACTGATCTGTAGCTACTGGGCTACTGGCTGACTACACAGAGTCACTGATCTGTAGCTACTGGGCTACTGGTTGACAACACAGACTCACTGATCTGTAGCTACTAGGCTACTGGCTGACAACACAGAGTCACTGATCTTTAGCTACTGGTTGACAACACAGAGTCACTGATCTGTAGCTACTGGGCTACTTGCTGACAACACAGAGTCACTGATCTGTAGCTACTGGGCTACTGGCTGACAACACAGACTCACTGATCTGTAGCTACTTGGCTACTGGCTGACAACACAGAGTCACTGATCTGTAGCTACTGGGCTACTGGCTGACAACACAGACTCACTGATCTGTAGCTACTGGGCTACTGGCTGACAACACAGAGTCACTGATCTGTAGCTACTGGGCTACTGGCTGACAACACAGAGTCACTGATCTGTAGCTACTGGGCTACTGGCTGACAACACAGAGTCACTGATCTGTAGCTACTGGGCTACTGGCTGACTACACAGAGTCACTGATCTGTAGCTACTGGGCTACTGGCTGACAACACAGAGTCACTGATCTGTAGCTACTGGGCTACTGGCTGACAACACAGAGTCACTGATCTGTAGCTACTGGGCTACTGGCTGACAACACAGAGTCACTGATCTGTAGCTACTGGGCTACTGGCTGACTACACAGAGTCACTGATCTGTAGCTACTGGGCTACTGGCTGACAACACAGACTCACTGATCTGTAGCTACTGGGCTACTGGCTGACAACACAGAGTCACTGATCTGTAGCTACTGGGCTACTGGCTGACAATACAGAGTCACTGATCTGTAGCTACTGGGCTACTGGCTGACAACACAGAGTCACTGATCTGTAGCTACTGGGCTACTGGCTGACAACACAGAGTCACTGATGTGTAGCTACTGGGCTACTGGCTGACAACACAGACTCACTGATCTGTAGCTACTGGGCTACTGGCTGACAACACTGAGTCACTGATCTGTAGCTACTGGGCTACTGGCTGACAACACACAGTCACTGATCTGTAGCTACTGGGCTACTGGCTGACAACACTGAGTCACTGATCTGTAGCTACTGGTTGACAACACAGAGTCACTGATCTGTAGCTACTGGGCTACTGGCTGACAACACAGAGTCACTGGTCTGTAGCTACTGGGCTACTGGCTGACAACACTGAGTCACTGATCTGTAGCTACTGGGCTACTGGCTGACAACACAGAGTCACTGATCTGTAGCTACTGGGCTACTGGCTGACAACACAGAGTCACTGATCTGTAGCTACTGGGCTACTGGCTGACAACAAAGAGTCACTGATCTGTAGCTACTGGGCTACTGGCTGACAACACAGAGTCACTGATCTGTAGCTACTGGGCTACTGGCTGACAACACAGAGTCACTGATCTGTAGCTACTGGGCTACTGGCTGACAACACAAACTCACTGATCTGTAGCTACTGGGCTACTGGCTGACAACACAGAGTCACTGATCTGTAGCTACTGGGCTACTGGTTGACAACACAGAGTCACTGATCTGTAGCTACTGGGCTACTGGCTGACAACACAGACTCACTGATCTGTGGCTACTGGGCTACTGGCTGACAACACAGAGTCACTGATCTGTGGCTACTAGGAGCAGCCCTGTGTACTGGCCGACAACGGACAACAACGGACAACATTAACTCACTGTCCCCATTGGTAGTGCAGGCACTGAGGGGCCGAGACCGACGTGTGTCCCTCTCTCTCTGGAAGGCAGCACTCACAGGTCGGGCTTTCCGGTTCATGGAGTCTGGTCCAAACACAGCATTCAGGTCAAACAGATTGCTCTGCAACAAACACACCATTCAGGTCAAACAGATTGCTCTACAACAAACACAGCATTCAAGCCAAACAGATTGCTCTACAACAAACACAACATTCAAGTCAAACAGATTGCTCTACAACAAACACAGCATTCAAGTCAAACAGATTGCTCTACAACAAACACAGCATTCAAATCAAACAGATTGCTCTAAAATGAACACAGCATTCAGGTCAAACAGATTGCTCTACAACAAAAACAGCATTCAAGTCAAACAGATTGCTCTAAAATGAACACAGCATTCAGGTCAAACAGATTGCTCTACAACAAACACAGCATTCAAGTCAAACAGATTGCTCTACAACAAACACAGCATTCAAGTCAAACAGATTGCTCTACAACAAACACAGCATTCAAGTCAAACAGATTGCTCTAAAATGAACACAGCATTCAGGTCAAACAGATTGCTCTACAACAAACACAGCATTCAAGTCAAACAGATTGCTCTAAAACAAACACAGCATTCAGGTCAAACAGATTGCTCTAAAATGAACACAGCATTCAGGTCAAACAGATTGCTCTAAAATGAACACAGCATTCAGGTCAAACAGATTGCTCTACAACAAACACAGCATTCAAGTCAAACAGATTGATCTACAACAAACACAGCATTCAGGTCAAACAGATTGATCTACAACAAACACAACATTCAAGTCAAACAGATTGCTCTAAAACAAACACAGCATTCAGGTCAAACAGACTGCTCTACAACAAACACAGCATTCAAGCCAAACAGATTGCTCTACAACAAACATAGCATTCAAGTCAAACAGATTGCTCTAAAACAAACACAGCATTCAAGTCAAACAGATTGCTCTAAAATGAACACATCATTCAGGTCAAACAGATTGCTCTACAACAAACACAACATTCAAGTCAAACAGATTGCTCTAAAACAAACACAGCATTCAGGTCAAACAGATTGCTCTACAACAAACACAGCATTAAGATCAAACAGATTGCTCTGCAACAAACACAGCATTCAGGTCAAACAGATTGCTCTACAACAAACACAGCATTCAGGTCAAACAGACTGCTCTACAACAAACACAGCATTCAGGTCAAACAGATTGCTCTACAACAAACACAGCATTCAGGTCAAACAGATTGCTCTGCAACAAACACAGCATTCAGGTCAAACAGACTGCTCCACAACAAACACAGCATTCAAGTCAAACAGATTGCTCTACAACAAACACAGCATTCAAGTCAAACAGATTGCTCTACAACAAACACAGCATTCAAGTCAAACAGATTGCTCTAAAATGAACACAGCATTCAGGTCAAACAGATTGCTCTACAACAAACACAACATTCAAGTCAAACAGATTGCTCTAAAACAAACACAGCATTCAGGTCAAACAGATTGCTCTAAAATGAACACAGCATTCAGGTCAAACAGATTGCTCTAAAATGAACACAGCATTCAGGTCAAACAGATTGCTCTACAACAAACACAGCATTCAAGTCAAACAGATTGATCTACAACAAACACAGCATTCAGGTCAAACAGATTGATCTACAACAAACACAACATTCAAGTCAAACAGATTGCTCTAAAACAAACACAGCATTCAGGTCAAACAGACTGCTCTACAACAAACACAGCATTCAAGCCAAACAGATTGCTCTACAACAAACATAGCATTCAAGTCAAACAGATTGCTCTACAACAAACACAGCATTCAAGTCAAACAGATTGCTCTAAAATGAACACATCATTCAGGTCAAACAGATTGCTCTACAACAAACACAACATTCAAGTCAAACAGATTGCTCTAAAACAAACACAGCATTCAGGTCAAACAGATTGCTCTACAACAAACACAGCATTAAGATCAAACAGATTGCTCTGCAACAAACACAGCATTCAGGTCAAACAGATTGCTCTACAACAAACACAGCATTCAGGTCAAACAGACTGCTCTACAACAAACACAGCATTCAGGTCAAACAGATTGCTCTACAACAAACACAGCATTCAGGTCAAACAGATTGCTCTGCAACAAACACAGCATTCAGGTCAAACAGATTGCTCCACAACAAACACAGCATTCAGGTCAAACAGATTGCTCCACAACAAACACAGCATTCAGGTCAAACAGATTGCTCTACAACAAACACAGCATTCAGGTCAAACAGATTGCTCTACAACAAACACAGCATTCAAGTCAAACAGATTGCTCTACAACAAACATGTTATTTGCTTCATGATTTATGGATCTGAGCACCAACATTTCCTCTTTATTTTATAGGGGAAGGGAGGTAACTCTTTGACATGTCATTCAGAGGCTCCCTGAAGCTTATTTCTTTCAACACAGTTCACATCCTATACCTTGAAGATAACAGACACAGAAATAATTCTTACAAATATATATTCAGCCAATTTGCATATCAACGTGTTTCTCTTGAGTGTAAAGAAATGTGCTGGTATTGAAATGAAAGTACTTCCTGCTGACATACAAGTCTTTATGAAAGGATGTACACACTGTTTTACATAATCATAAAGATGGCCTTCTCCAAACCGTGACTGTGAGAAGTAGGACAATATAACATTATGCATTAAAGTCACAGAATCGTCAGCTGTCACAATGGTCCACACAACAATCATACACAAAGGATAACGACACAACTCTAAATATTGTTTCCCGTTTCAACTAATTTAAGAATCCAGGTATTTCACGAAAGTAATGAATTTCGTATATTATTTTAATAAACCTTATTTAATAACAAGACAGGTATTACCAACAGTAAGTCATCTAAATATAAGGACCATGCAATAAACAACATTAAAACATTAAATCATGTCATAACATTCAAAATATAACAGGCAAAAATAGCATGGAACTAAAGGCATTAGTTGTTCTCTATCAGACAATGCTTAGGCTCCAAACTGTTCTAATGGTAAAACTAACCCAGCCAAGTCAGATTGATCTAATGCTACAACTATTTGTTTGTTGAATGGACAGTCACCTCATGAATACTGTGGACACACTTGTGTCCCTATACATATAATGAACAGGACAAAAGATCAGTTTGACATTTTCAATGTTCCCGCTCTGTAGAAATGATCTCATTCCTATAATGTCTCCCACATACCAACCTGCGTGTATCTTTGTGGGTCGTCATAGGTGGAGAGGTACCGGTCATCCACGGTCTGTCTGTCAGGATCAGCGTCATACAGGCGTGATATAGCCTACAACAATCATACTAACACATAAACAGGACTAATATGGACTTCGGCCTTATTCTGTGTTTCAAACAGGATTAAATCAAACAATCAGCGCCATTGCTCCTGACATTTTGCTGAGATCTTTGTGATACTAAACAGACTGCTGAGTGTTTAATCACGTCACCCTGCATCCCTCTGTTCCTGAAGTTGTAAACAGGGGAGGGGAGGGGGATCCACAGATCTCTGCACATCTTCCCGAGGCAAGGGAGTTAACTTACTTGAGAAGTCCAGTTTCCCAGACTCAATTGTAGCGCCACCAGTGGCTATTATGAGTTATGCCCACACAAACCACTGATGGATGAATAAGGTGAGGTGAGGTGAAATTGGGTTTAACGTCGCGTCCAAGATTATTGCACTTATATAGCGACGTGCATGCACGTGTATGTGTGTGTGTGGCTGCTTGTACTAGTCTGGACTGATGCCGATTTATAGTGCTAGATCACTGAGATACCATGCCGCAGTTTAACATGAATACCCCACTCAGACACAGTATACTGACTCCGAGCCGACCAGTCCTTGTTTTAGCCCCTTAATGCCGAGCTCCAGACAGGGTAACAACAAGTACAATCTTTTAACGTCTTTTTGTATGACGCGGCCCGGGATCGAACCCTGGACCTTCCGCTCTCCGGGCGGACGCTCTACCACAAGACCACGGAGGCGGTCGATGGATGAATAAACAATGATTGCCGGGATGCAGGGATGAGAACGTGGTTTGTATAAAAACACTGCACGCTAGCTGGGGTCAGCGGGACTATGATTCATGTGTATATTGTAACAGCATGTATGACACAAGTGACCTCTACCCACATTGCTGGTGTTGGAGTTTGTGGTCATGTCCGAATTTGGTTGCACAACCAGCTCTCTCAGTGTCATGTCGGCTCGCTCTACAATGTCCTGAGCCTTGGGCTTGGATGGCTGGACACCTGCTGACTTAGACCTGACATTGCGGCTTCCACTCGGAGGTCGCTTCCCATTTAATCCAGTCTGAAAAATATAGGACAATAACACTTAGATGAACGATGTTCTTTCTCTGTGATGTACCGACACTGAGTCTAGCTGGTGATGTCATACATTATTATGAAGAAATGGAACAGAAAATTAAAGGAGAGTTCAATCCATTTACTAAAAAGTAGCACATCAACATATCCAAATAATAATGGTTCCTTAAATAGGAAGGGGGGCGGTCGGGTAGCCTGGTGGTTAAAGCGTTTGCTCGTCACGCCAAGGACCCGGGTTCGATTCCCGACATGGGTACAGTGTGTGAAGCCCATTTCTGGTGTCCCTCGCTGTGATATTGCTGAAATATTGCTAAAAGCGGAGTAAAACCATACTCCCTCACTCACTTACTAAATAGGAAGGTTTCATCCATGTAACTAAACATCTACACATCTAAAATCTATAAATCTAAACCTGCCGAACTTAACAAGAACAACACAACTAATACCATCACACGTAAATGTTGACCCAGTGTTAGGGGGCAATGCAGATGCCATGGAGGTTTACTGAGCCGATTGTACAGAGTATCAGATGGCCGTCAGTCACCGGCTACAGACCGATAGAATTTCAGTTTGACAGATGGTTTGTTCAAGTAATCAGACTATTGACTGATAGAAATGCCAAGCAAGGCGTCACACATTTCATAATTTAATGATTTAAAAGTCAGCACTCCCACACCCTGTTCCCACAGCAGGAACGAGAGTTTAGTGCACAGAACACGACTCTTGTCCCACTGAGAGACATGCAGGTTCTTGCCTGCCACACAGGACTCAAGCATTGTTGACTCCGTGAGACTGTTCTGTATCCCTTGGTAGCAAAATGTGCAACAAATATGTCTTCAACTCATCCAACCTTTTCGCATATTTAATAAGTACCTTAAAATCACAAAGAAACTTTTAACACATAAATACGCTGAAATTGTTTTTCAACAGGACAAAAATCAAAATACATCAAAAGGATGCATGTCATCCATAAGAAATCCCCGATCTCACTGCCCCGTCAACATTCACACACACCATGTCTAGTACCCTGGCCACCCTCCCTGCCCCGTCAACATTCACACACACCATGTCTAGTACCCCGGCTCCCCTCTCTGCCCCGTCAACATTCACACACACAGTATGTCTAGTACCCTGGCTACCCTCCCTGCCCCGTCAACATTCCCACACACAGTATGTCTAGTACCCTGGCTACCCTCCCTGCCCCGTCAACATTCACACATAACATGTCTAGTACCCCGGCTACCCTCCCTGCCCCGTCAACATTCACACATAACATGTCTAGTACCCCGGCTACCCTCCCTGCCCCGTCAACATTCCCACACACCATGTCTTGTACCCCGGCTACCCTCTCTGCCCCGTCAACATTCACACACAGCATGTCTTGTACCCCGGCTACCCTCCCTGCCCCGTCAACATTCCCATACACCATGTCTTGTACCCCGGCTACCCTCTCTGCCCCGTCAACATTCCCACACACCATGTCTTGTACCCCGGCTACCCTCCCTGCCCCGTCAACATTCACACACAGCATGTCTTGTACCCCGGCTACCCTCTCTGCCCCGTCAACATTCACACATAACATGTCCAGTACCCCGGCTCCCCTCTCTGCCCTGTCAACATTCACACACACAGTATGTCTAGTACCCTGGCTACCCTCTCAAACCTGTCAACATTCACACATAACATGTCTAGTACCCGGGCTCCCCTCTCTGCCCCGTCAACATTCACACATAACATGTCTAGTACCCCGGCTCCCCTCTCAAACCCGTCAACATTCACACATAACTTGTCTAGTACCCGGGCTACCCTCCCTGCCCCATCAACAGTTACACACAGCATATCTAGTACCCTGGCTCCCCTCTCTGCCCCGTCAACATTCCCACACACCATGTCTTGTACCCCGGCTACCCTCTCTGCCCCGTCAACATTCACACATAACATGTCCAGTACCCTGGCTCCCCTCTCTGCCCTGTCAACATTCACACACACAGTATGTCTAGTACCCTGGCTACCCTCTCAAACCTGTCAACATTCACACATAACATGTCTAGTACCCGGGCTCCCCTCTCTGCCCCGTCAACATTCACACATAACATGTCTAGTACCCCGGCTCCCCTCTCAAACCCGTCAACATTCACACATAACATGTCTAGTACCCGGGCTACCCTCCCTGCCCCATCAACAGTTACACACAGCATATCTAGTACCCTGGCTCCCCTCTCTGCCCCGTCAACATTCCCACATAACATGTCTAGTACCCTGGCTACCCTCCCTGCCCCATCAACATTCACACATAACATGTCTAGTACCCTGGCTACCCTCCCTGCCCCGTCAACATTCACACATAGCATGTCTAGTACCCCGGCTACCCTCTCTGCCCCGTCAACATTCACACACAGCATGTCTAGTACCCCGGCTCCCCTCCCTGCCCCGTCAACATTCACACACAGCATGTCTAGTACCCCGGCTACCCTCCCTGCCCCGTCAACATTCACACATAACATGTCTAGTACCCCGGCTACCCTCCCTGCCCCATCAACATTCCCACACACCATGTCTAGTACCCCGGCTACCCTCCCTGCCCCATCAACATTCCCACATAACATGTCTAGTACCCTGGCTCCCCTCTCTGCCCCGTCAACAGTTACACACAGCATGTCTAGTACCCCGGCTAAACTCCCACCTTGGTGAATGTCCTGAGGAAGCGCTTGTCGATGTCCTGCACCGGCCCCTGTGCACTCTGGGCGCGCTTCTGGAGCAGCAGGTTGTAGTGCGCCATGTCGTGCTGGTGGCTGTCCATCACTTCTGTCATGTACTTGTTACGGTTTTCCAGGTACGCCATCTGGCGGTGGCGGATCTCGTCCTGCACGGCCTCGTACTCTCGCTGCAGTAGCTTCATGGCCATCCGCTCCCAGTGGGTTACAGCTCGTGTCTGGGAAGATGAATAATTAAACACCTCAGTGATAACATACACATCACACCTCAAGAATCTTACTGGCAGTCATAACATACACATCACACCTCAAGAATCTTACTGGCAGTCATAACATACACATCACACCTCCAGAATCTTACTGGCAGTCATAACATACACATCACACCTCCAGAATCTTACTGGCAGTCATAACATACACATCACACCTCCAGAATCTTACTGGCAGTCATAACATACACATCACACCTCAAGAATCTTACTGGCAGTCATAACATACACATCACACCTCAAGAATCTTACTGGCAGTCATAACTTACACATCACACCTCAAGAATCTTACTGGCAGTCATAACATACACATCACACCTCAAGAATCTTACTGGCAGTCATAACTTACACATCACACCTCAAGAATCTTACTGGCCGTCATGACATACACATCACACCTCCAGAATCTTACTGGCAGTCATAACATACACATCACACCTCAAGAATCTTACTGGCAGTCATAACATACACATCACACCTCCAGAATCTTACTGGCAGTCATAACATACACATCACACCTCCAGAATCTTACTGGCAGTCATAACATACACATCACACCTCCAGAATCTTACTGGCAGTCATAACATACACATCACACCTCCAGAATCTTACTGGCAGTCATAACATACACATCACACCTCCAGAATCTTACTGGCAGTCATAACATACACATCACACCTCCAGAATCTTACTGGCAGTCATAACATACACATCACACCTCCAGAATCTTACTGGCAGTCATAACATACACATCACACCTCCAGAATCTTACTGGCAGTCATAACATACACATCACACCTCCAGAATCTTACTGACAGTCATAACATACACATCACACCTCCAGAATCTTACTGGCAGTCATAACATACACATCACACCTCCAGAATCTTACTGGCATTCATAACATACACATCACACCTAAAGAATCTCACTTGGCAAAAATTGAAATAAATTAATATATAAACCAAAATATCGACTAACACATTAACTGATACATATATTGACATATAATTTGAAATACAAAATATTTATAAACTGGTACATCAACAGATATATTATAAACTACTGACTAAAATACAGCTACTGTTTTTGCATATATAATTGATGCTGCAATGACACAAAACAAATTCTTGTTTTAATCCACACGGATGCTGATTGCATTGTTTGTTTGTTGTTTAACACCGCACTCAGCAATAATCCAGCTATATGCCGGCAGTCTGTAAATAATCAAGTCTGGACCAGACAATCCAGTGATTGACATCATGAACACCGATCCACGCAATTGGGATACGATGACATGCATCAACCAAGTCATTGCAACAGTCCCAAGTGCTGCCATGAGTTATCTCCCCTGAGGTATAATCTCTTCCCCCATCTACATATCAATATATATATTGAATTATATAACTCATTTCCAGATGTTTCCCGAGTCCCACTGCACGGAAGCTGCAGCAACAGGAACAACATTATCACCCATCCAGGTGAGCTACACCTGTGACAACAAACACCACCATCATCATCTGTAATGAATTATTAACGATTCTCACCTTCCCACTAGCTGGGTTGAGTTGTCCAAACCTGGCCACCTCTCCCGCATCTTGCACCGGAGCCCCTGCAAGACAGTCCAGGCTAATCAGACGGCCATCAATAATTAAACACTGTGTCTGAATTCCACTGAATTGATTTACAGTAAGCCTGCGTACAGAGGACAGAGATGCCTGGCTAGGGCTGGGGTGATCCAGTGAGTCTAATGGCAATACAGTAATATAAGTGGGTATGGATTCAAACCTGACTGATTCAGTGAAAGTAAAAATATGCAGATCTACACAAATATTTAAGAGATTTGAAATATAAAGAAACTGTACACACACGTACACCTGCCGACGCAACCACCTGAGTTTCTGTCTACCATGTGTCACAACAAGGGGAACATCGTGACTGTTATATAGCACAATCTCATCTCTAACACTAGTTAGGCTATACTTTTCATTTCTTGGTTTACAGGTGGTTTAATTATTCTGGTTGATAAAATAGAAAAAAGAGACATTTCAATTCTTTTTGGCAGTAGGTCACATCTGTCTTGCAGTCTAAAGACTTGAAGCCACAACAGTTGTGTGGAGTGAACATATCATTAAGTTTGCAGTTGATGGAATAAGAAAAACAGTAAAAGTCACTGTCTAAATACTGTCTGGAAAGTAATCAATATTAACGATGTTCATCAACGGCAAACCCTCCCACACAGGTAAGAATGTGACTGCAGTTTGAGGAGGTGTACAGTAAGTCAGGTGTTAAACCAACAACAGCTACTCCCAGTGGCCGGAGTCAGGGACTGTAGTGACCGGCATCTCCATCACTGGCTGTAGTGACCGGCATCTCCATCACTGGCTGTAGACAATGGTATCTCTGCCAAACCCACAACCAAACCCAGGTAAGTGGCAGCATCAGGATGTGACACACTCCACCACCTGTTACACCCGACCGAGTGGCCATCTACTTCAGGGTGAATGTGATTCTCCACCATGAATGCCACCAGCAGGCCTCAAAGTTTGAATTTTTACCAAGTAGCCACATGGCTACAAGCATTTTTTTCCAGGTAGCCAGTGGTAAAATCAAGAAGTCAATATTGTAGGTAGCCAAAAGCATTTGAAATTATCTTTTATCAAATAACTATTATTATATGTACAAGTCATAGCACTAGTCTATTTTATGTTACTAGATTATTTAAGTATATCCTTGCTTATCCGGTAAGAATTGTCAACTGAAATAAAATACTAATTACATTAATATTTATGTATGTCTGTTCATTGTCGACTTTAGGAGGTATTATACGCAAGTACAATTATTAGCAGACATGTTTTCCACAATTGGGTTTTATTTATTTTTGGGTCTTCAAATGTGAAGCAATAGAATTTAGTTGCCACAAGATATTTTCAAGGTAGTCTTTTGGCTACCACTGTATTTTAGTCAGTAGACAAACTGAAATTTAGGTCGAATTGGCGACCGTTTTAGTTGCAACTTTGAGACCTGACCAGCCCTTCCTGATCTCCACTGGCCTCAGACTAGCAGACTTCTGATAAGTTCCAACTCTGGTACTACCTGATCATGGCGGTGAGGTGAGGTGAAATTGGGTTTAACGTTGCGTCTAAGATTATTGCACTTATATAGCAACGTGCATGCACGTGTGTGTGTGGCTGCTTGTACTAGTCCGGATTGATGCCGATTTATAGTGCTAGATCACTGAGATACCATGCCGCAGTTTAACATGAATACCCCACTCAGACACAGAATACTGACTCCGAGCCGACCAGTCCTTGTTTTAGCCCCTTAATGCCGAGCGCCAGACAGGGTAACAACAAGTACCATCTTTTAACGTCTTTAGGTATGACGCGGCCAGGGATCGAACCCCGAACCTTCCGCTCTCGGGGCGGACGCTCTACCATTAGACCACGGAGGCGGCCTGATCATTGCATCATCATATGGTGCTCAACATTTATTTGTTTGTTGTTTAACGCCACACTCAGCAATATTCCAGCCGTATGCTCGCGGTCGGTAAATAATAGGGGCTGGACCAGACAATCCAGTGATTGACATAATCAATACACGCAATTGGGATACGATGACAAGTATCAACCAAGTCAGCAAGCCTGACCGTCCGATCCCGTTAGTCGCCTCTTACGACAAGCATAGTCGCCTCTTACGACAAGCATAGTCGCCTTTTACGACAACCATGCGGTGCATGCGAACAAGTCTCATCAGAAATCCAAGAGTGGATTACCAGTGTGCCACCTCATACTATTATGCTCATGAAGCCATTTTAAAATATAAGATCCCACATGAATCCCCCTACATACCTCAGACACCTGCTGACTCCCCTCAGTCAGGGGGTATAGAAGGTTCATCTCCTGATGCATTTACAAAAACAAAGTGATCATTTTCTAAACATCATGAAACATGAAACACTGCTGAGGTACATGTACTCATACACTGATGAAACAACGCAAGATGTCTTACCTACAATATTAGCCAGATGTAATGTAGCAGTTGTCTCCCCTTGCCATGCACTGAAAGAAAGGAGAGCTTTATCAATTATGTTCAGAGTCAAAACATTCATGAAGTTAATAAGTGAGTGAGTATGGTTTTAGGCCGCTTTTAGAAATATTCCAGCAATATCACGGCATGGGACACCAGAAATGGGCTTCACACATTGTACCCATGTGGGGAATCTAATCCAGACCTTTGACGTGATAAGCGAACGCTTTAACCACTAGGCTACCCCACCACCCCCATAAAGTTAATGATAAAGACAAAGGCTGTTGTCAGTCAAGAGTAAGGGGTGAATGTTGTTTATGCTGCAGTAACCACTGAAAGCAACAGCCTCCTTGGTCTAGTGGTAGAGCATCTGCTCGGAGAGCGAAAGGTTTGGGGTTCAATCCCTGGCCGGGTCATACCAAAAAAATGTTAAAAGATGATACTTGTTGTCATCCTGCCTTGCTCTCAGCATTAAGGGCTTAAACAAGGACTGGTCAGCTTGGAGTCACTATACTGTGTCTGAGTGGGGTATTCCTGTTAAAGTCGATGGTATCTCAGTGGGCTGGCACTATGGAATCAGCATTAGTCAGGACTAGTCCACACCCGCACACATACATACACACACACACAGACACACACATTTATATCATTATATATTAATTCTTCTGTGACTTTATTGGAAAATATCAATACGCAAGTGTCATATTGCGACATGTGTATTGCTGACAGCCGTATTGCAATATACCAATATACCAGTAATATTGCACACCCCTAATGAAAATATGTACCGTATTCACCGGATTAAACGCCAGCTTCAATAAGTGTCCCCAACCAACTGCAAGAGCAATCTGCCTCTTACGGCAAGCAGGGGTTGCTGAAGACCTATTCTAACCTGGATCAATTTTCAAAGGTCCCAGAGCACTTATTACAGCAAATACAGTATGTATGTAGAATATATAGGAATAATGCATATGTATCTAAGTAATTCAACTTCAACAGACTCAACATTAATCTGAAATTAAGCAGAGATTTTTATTCTTGGAGTGATCCAGTGGAGATATATAGGTCAAACTGTGTCCTGATATGAGCCTAAACTAACAACTCACCGTTTCACAAGTGAAATGAGACAATTGAGACTGTCTGTGGCTTTCTGTGTCTCAGATCGGCTCTGCAGCAGTTCCTGTCGTAGCTTGGAGATTATCTCCAGCAGTGTGGCGGTAGACTGGCTGTCTAGACCTGCCGGCCCCGGGGTCGTTACACTAGCGGGCATCGTATCTCACTCAGCAACGTCAATGGAGGAACTCTGTCAGAGAACAGGAGACTGTTTAGAACTCTGCCTTCCAAGCACTAAATCCTACCATGGATCATCATGTGCATGATCCCAGACTGAACATGATTCTCCCAGAGGACTGACACAAGTCGTCACAATAAGAAATGTACTTGTAATTGACAAAGGTTGGAGAGATCCTGTCTGTAACGACATTTGTGGGCAAAAGCTGAATAAGTTTTATTTTTGTAGATAAACAGAGTTTGAAGTAAATGACCTTTTAAATAAATAAGGTGATGTAGACTGTGGAGGAAACCTTGAGATATGATACTTAAAACAATTCTGACCAAATATTGAACATGACACAGCAATAAACTAAGAATGAACATACTTGACCATGCCATGTAATGCTAATGGTAGAACGTCTCATGTACATCGACTCACTCCTTTATATCTAACTTTGGGTGGTTCTGACTTCATGTTAAGGTTAAGACAACATATATATCATTTGATATGAAATGTCAGTGATGTTACTGTACATGTAGGACTTTCTTTATAAAAGTGATATCATTTGTAACATGAGTGACTTGCGATTTATGTCATAGCATTGACAGTCATAAACAATGTCAAAAACTGATGCTGCAGGATAGTATATATTACACTATCCTTACAACACTATATAATCCTGCACCTCACATGAATTGTAATTAATACAGAAAGAACCAACTGTCTACAAAGTTAATTATGGCAGGCAGTAAAAAGTTGGTCAGATTACAGATCAGAGGCCTGAAAAATTACAAATTATAAACTATGACGCCTTGTCAAATCAAAATTAACCGAGAGCTGTATAACTAAACAAAGATAAGCCGATACCACTGTAAACTAAATACAAGCAGTGGCAACTTTAGACTGACTGAGACGGGTGAATAACACAACAAGAGTGAGTCAGTCAAACTTATCAAGTCGGCCGACAGCTCCTAGTACATAACAGAAAATGAAGCTCTGCCTATTTTGAGCTTCATATGCCTATTTTTCACATAGCCACACTACCATGTGCCCCTGTATCAGAAGCATCAAACAGAATACGGCCGAAAGGTATCTGGTATAATATAAGTGTTCCAAATCATTTACATATGATATAATGTGTTCATATATGATGATGTGAAGCCCATTTCTGGTGTCCTTGCCGTGATATTGCTGAGATATTGCTAAAAGCTGCGTAAAACCATACTCACTCACTCACTCATATATGATGACAGGCACGCAGGGAAACTATAAGAACATGAACATTATTTTCTTTCAAAACATATCATTTAGTGTATCACTGTATGCTGGAGTTTTTCTTGAAGTTTTTAAGTGAATCACACATAATGGCTTTATTGTAGTTCCTCAGTATATTTATACACAAATATACTGACAACAAATGGAACATTGGTGCAGTTCTCAATACAGCAAGCTGAACAGGCCAAACCAGCTGGTAACTCTCGACAGGAGTCGGAATTGTTTGCCTCCCACATAGGATTGTATATATCCAGGTCTGAACTAACATAGGTTATTTTAGATTTATCCTGGTAATGATGGTCCCTAAAGTACGTAAATCGCTACCTTTTATCTAAGTCTCATGTCGTTGTTATCATTGTCAAGGAATGCATTGAAAACTCATCCATGTTGTTTACAGTTGTGTCCCGGACACGAACTGCGGTCCTGAAAAAGACGAATTTGGGGAGCAAAATCGGAATAGGATTTGTTTTACCGTACTTGAAAAATCTCGTTTCGTGTCATGTTTTACGCCAAACCAAACATATTCGCAAGTATACATTTATGGAACATATCCATTACATTCGCCTGTTCATCATGTTTATAATAGATGTAATAGTTAAAGATTGGTTGATATAGAGCTTCTCTATGCCGCTTTTCCTCTATTAGACGCACGATCACCTATTCTAATTTCCCGGCGTCAAGTTTCTCAGGCAATATTTTTTACTTTAAATCATAATTTCTAGATCATATAAATAATAAGAAAAATTGTCCCTACAAGAGACTGGCGTCCTTCGATGTATGGTCTGCTTACCTAGACTTGCCTAGTATAAGGATCGAACTACTACACACCCATGGACTTATCATTCAGTACAGCCTTGGAGCAAGGCTACTTACTACCTTACGGAATCCCATATTCTACAGCCATACAAACATGGGTACATTTGCAGGAAACGCGGTCATCAGTAATGAAGGTAGTAATCATTACATGTTGTAAGTTCATGTGATAGGGGTAATTAACTTCATCTAATGAGGGACAAGGCTCCTATTAGAGACCCAGCTTCTAGTTATTGGACAGAGCGTTATGCCAGCGTGTCTTGGAGCGCAGCTTCTAATAAAAGGAAATACGGTATTTGTTTCTTGATTACACAGGGACGGTGGGGTAGCCTAGTGGTTAAACCTTTCGCTCGTCACGCCGAAGACCCAGGTTCGATTCCCTACATGGGTACAATGTGTGAAACCCATTGCTGGTGTCCCCCGTCGTGATAGTGCTGGAATATTGCTAAACGCGGCGTAAAACCATACTCACTTCTTGATGAGAAAGTAACTCACGAGGAACTTCAGGTTATAAGGTGTGCAGGACGTAGACAGACTCACTGCTCGTTTCATTTACAGAATGTTTGTAAGTTTGCTTGTTGATATTACTTATGATTGTCTGCTAGCTCAGGAATTAGGATATATTAATTATCGAAAAGACTACGATATTAGATAGAGAATACACGGCGACACTATCATTTAATACTCTAAACCGATAACTATGAACCATTTATACAAGCACGTTGGCATAGATCGACTTCCTGCTTTTTTATTTGAATCTTCAACCTGCAAACTATGACGCATTTCTGTAAGCAGAGACCATATAATAGATCTATTATATGGTCTCTGCTGTAAGCTTCTCTGACGTAGGTTGGTGTTAAATAATGTTTGCCGTGGACAAATCCATATAGTAGATTCATACGATTGACTATCCCATATTAATTTATCAATGCGACATTTAGTTTCGCGAAGAAAGACAGTATTACGTGCCTAGTTGTGCGCGCCATCAAAAAACAAGATCACATTTCGTTATTTAGGTTTGAAATCTATATTTTATAAGAACCCATATAGTTTGGTATGTAATAATTTTAAAAATGTGTCACAAATCATATGTGACAAACACAGAGTATAAATGAAACGGTACATTGAAAAGTGATATCAGATTTTTTTATAAACTTAATATATATGTTAGGCGCTCTGTCTCCTTCAGTGCGGGCCAGTCACACTGAGCAGGAAGTGCGCGAATATTCGTGGATATTCGTCAGCAAAAGATTTCGACATCTAGAGGTTTACTTAAGTTGTCACATTGAATATTGCAGCATTTCCTCGTGATGGCGTACTACGGGCAGCAGCAACAACAACAACAATATCGTCCACAGGCTCCGACAGGCGTGCCTGATCAGAACTGGTTGATGAGTGTATTTCAAAGGTCCGTTGGTTAAGATAACTTCTAGGCTGTGTAGGATATTAGATAAAAGAGTAAATTCTTACAGTAACTTACTCAAGCTTAGGTTTTAGGGCTCGTCCTGAAATTGACCAGTGAGGCTGTCACTGTAAGAAATGTAATTTATCTTTATAGTAGAGAGTGACTATATTATCAGTATTTTATCAATGCTTGATTCTTAAGGTGTAGGCCCTAATACAAATGAAATATTTTCTAGTGAGTAATTATTGACAGATGGAAATATAAATCAATACTATAGATCTACATCATGTACACAGAATACTGTGTTGCTGCGTCATTGTACATCATGTAATAGGTAGAATGTAGTTTTCTACCCTAATGACAACAAATCAATAAGTCAACTTTCAATAGTAAAAAAAACAAAGTTTGAAAGATATCCGCTTAACAAGTGAGAAAGACTGGGGGATGGGGGGTGGGGGACTATTTAAACTGGTAGAGGCACTATCAGTATCGAAATATGAAATGACTCCCCAACAAGATTATCATTATTTATGTAATGTACATATATATATAGCTTGTATAGTACATCAACAACAAAGAATATGTTTCCAAGCAACCTATTATCGTGGTAGAAGTTCCCTCAGTTGATTTTCAATGAATTTCTGGTAATGTTTCTTTATTTTTATTCAGTATGAAACAATGATGTTTTAATGTTGTAATAAGACATCATTTTGTATACACAATATAAATAAGTACATTTCAGCCCATGTTGCATGACAGTCTTCATTGTCAGTAAATATATTCTCCTTACATTGTGGTTAATCTTAACTTATGTAAGAGAGTGACATAACACATGAGTAATCAAGCATTCCTTGCATAAGAACATGGAGGGGGGGGGGGGGAGGTAAAGCCACTCACTCATGCATGAACATGATGAGCATCCTCCAATGTCTGATGATTGTGTCAGGTATTTTCATGAAAGTGGTGCAACAAATGTCATCTATGGCTCAAACTGTTACCATGGTTACTTAACATTCAACAACTATTCTGATAGTTATCACAGGTTGCCCAGTGCTGAAGTGTGGGTTCAAATCCCCGATTTGTTAGGTCCTGATTCTTGGTATGACAGAACTGTACCTGTGCTCGTGGCTTTCAGCTAAGTGGTAAATGTCTTGGACACTTGTCCATCACGTTGGCTGGCATGCTGTAAGGCCAAACACTGGATCACTAACTGCACATATCACAGTTCCATCTGTACTTAGTTTGACCATTCCTTGTATTTTCCTCCTGCATTTTGAAATGAAAATCCCTGGGGCCGATTGTCAGAAACAGTAAATCAGTTCCTGGTAACCATGGTAACCGTTGATGATGTACCTGGCTTTTCTAGAGTGGACAAAGACAGAAGTCAGCAGATATCGGTGAAGGAACTGGGAGAAGCTTTGTCCAATGGTAAGCTTCCGGTCATGCTGCCAAAACTGACCACTGTCCTGTCACCTCGGAGCATGCTTGTATTTCCCTCATGACCGACTAACACTGCCGTAGTCTGACATATAGACATCTTTGTTGTACTTGTCTTGTGATGCTTACAAACCTTTTCAGACATTTTCCTTTTGCATCTAACATGATTCATTTTCAGACAAGTTATTTTGATAAGTCGATAAACCTTGTGAACCAGTAATAATGGTAGTAACCACTGTTTCAAATTTATATATCAAAATATATGTTGAACACATGTGCTGTCCATATGCCTATCACCATGGTAAATGGCTACCATATTTTATAGGTAACGATAAATTTTCAAAAAGCAAAGTTACACTAAAATTTACAACTTGAGTAACAATGTAACATAAGGCAATGTACATGAAGCAGTTGATTTGTTCATGGGGAAATATAAGCAAGTTACCACCAGTTATGTGTGTACGTCAGTACTGAACCCCTGACACAGCATGACCCCTCCTTCCCATGCCCCGCCCGGCCCGGCCCCACCCACTGTCAGGAAGCTAGCAGCATGTAGTGGTTAGCGGAGTAGTGCCTGATGTCTGTGTTACTGTTGTCCAGGATCGACAAGGATCGCAGTGGCTCCATCTCTGGCCAGGAACTCGGAGTGGCTTTATCCAATGGTAAGGGTGCTGGGTGGCTGTCGTCTCTGTATCTCATACTAACCTTCCTATCTTCTGTGTGTTAGTGCCAGTTTCGTTTGTAACTTAGGTTTGGGGCTTCAGAGTAACTGTATTTGCTTGAGGGTGATGAGACAAATTGTTTATATGTTTTGTCATTTTAAGGATTAGGTGTATTTTTGAAAGGACATTTCCCTCCATTACAGGATTTGACTTGCATAGAGAAGTCTTGAGTTCAATTCCCAATGTGGGTACAATGTGTGAAGCCCTTTCTTGGTGCCCTGTAATAGACCTGGCATAAGACACTCACACTTTGTTACAGGGTTTATCAAGTTTATGGAATTTAAAAAAAATATCAGATGGGCATACATAGTATCCTTGCAGACAATGACACAATTTAGCATTTGATCAACCAACAACTAATGATAAAACAAGGCTCCCTCCCTTCCCCTCATCGGTAGTGATGACTTTCGTTATGCAGTTGATTGCACTTATGATACATGTACTGAGATACGTACCAAAATTTATTGCATGCATTCTCTTATCTGTAAATTGTTGTGAACTTAAATAAAAATAACCCACATTTTTTACAAGTTCGTAGTCTCCCATTTTGTTGGATGTTGCTTGGAAGGATAGGCTTACTATCTGTCTACCATTATGTTCTGTGACAATTGTTGATCATGTTTAGATGTTCACATCAGCAACTTCCTTGCAGTGTATCCCGGTGTGGTCGGGTTTAAAAAACTGTCCAGTCATGATGATCCTGGGCTGTGTACGGACCATGTTAGTCATTCAGGATTTCCCTGGCTCTATCAGCCTACAAGTCAAACAGAACGTTAGTAATAAGAATAGCCTCACCAGGATCAGTGTGTTACGTCTCCAGAAAATACATTGGTCTGCCAACACTAGACCTGACCCCAGAGTTGCCTCTCTTAGCTTCACCAGGATCAGTGTTTTGCATTTTCAGAAAATATATTTTGCCACCTTCAAATCCATAACTGTATAAGAACACTTTCTTATTTCATAAATTCCCCGTAATGTAACAGGAACCATTCCATGTATATGTTTGTCGGTATTAACGCCGGATCCTGCTGTCTGCTCATGTTCAATACACTTCCTTCTTGCAGGAACCTGGACCCCCTTCAACCCCGAGACAGTGCGGCTGATGATTGGTGAGTAGCTTTGTTTGTTTGTCATGTATGTTTGTTTAACGCTGCACTCAGCAGTTTTCCAGCTATAGGACGTCAGTCTGTAAATAATCCAGGCTGGACCAGAGAATCCAGTGATTAACATCATGAGTACTGTTTGACGCATTTGGATACGATGACATGCATCAACTAAGTCAGCAAGTGTCTTGTCTCACAGACCCTGAAACAAATATATCCAATACAGCCCATGCAAGTCTATAATGTTTGGCAAGTCTAGATAACTGCAGTATCTAAAAATGAAGAAGGTTTTGGGGCTCCTTTTTTATATTTTATAACTATAATTTAACAACTGTTTTTTCTGTAAAATATGTTCATTTCAAAGAATAGATGTAAGTCTGGCGGCTCAACGTGAATCCACAGATATCTTAATCATGTCATATGACAGAGGGATCGGACATTCTCTCACGAGTTGTCAGTGCATGTATTCTCTTATGGTAGATTGTTGTTACCATGCGTTGCCATAGATACACTATTTGTTGCCATAGATACACTATTTGTTGCCATAGATACACTATTTGTTGCAGGCATGTTCGACAGAGACAACTCAGGAACAATAAACTTCCAAGAATTTGCATCACTTTGGAAATACGTCACCGACTGGCAGAACTGTTTCCGTAGTTACGACAGGGATAACTCTGGTTCTATTGACAAGAATGAGCTGAAGACGGCACTGACTAGTTTTGGTAAGAAAGACAATCCAGAATACTTGTCCAGACATGAAACAGTGTTCTAAATATGAACTGTTGAGGCAGCCCTCTAAGTATGTAGTGACCATCTTGGTGGCCAAATGCGACTATGATTAGCAACCTAAATTTATCTACTGCTCGCCACTTGGCTACCTATATGTCAACATGACTGGTGACAATATCTGTTAAAGATATCTGTTGGCTCTTAAAATCTTAGGTTTGGCTCCTATGATATTTATGTTAGGAGCCACTTGGCTTAGAGGGCTGTGAGCTATAACCTCGACAACAGACACTCTCTGAGATTGGACTCATTACAACAAATGGTGGGCGAAGTCAGGCGAAAACACTTGTAGACATGGCTGCCTTTTTTCTGGAGGTTGACAGACTGTGACTGATCGGCAGAATTATTTCCAAGACAACTGGAGGTGTAGATGAGCCTGACATCTGACAGCTCCTGACATCTCCGAGTACAGCTCCATGAAGATGACTCCTTGTTTGTGGCCTGCATCACTATGTGCTTCCTCCCACATTATACTGACTGTGTTCTGAAGACATGTCTGTTCATTACAAATGTACTCCAAAACGCACCCGGAGCCTATAGATCGCGCTTCACGTGCACTTGTGTTAGTTTTAAATAAAGAATCTGTTCTCCAAAACGCACCCGATGCATAACGATCACATTGCCTGAACACACCAACGTATGGCTGTGACTGCACGTGAAATGTGAGGGTTGTGAGCAAATATAAGGCGGTAGCTCGCATCAGTTAGTTACTTGGTCAGAGTTCGTTAGAGGGATGGTGTTAGATGGTTAGAGAGATGGTGCTAGACAGATGGCGTTAGACAGTGTTAAGACTCCCTTATGAGTAACTGTTAGAATTAGCATTAGTTTCTTTCATTTGAGGTTGATTCATCTTTTCTTAACATAATAACAGGTAATCACGTTTAGTTCCTTGTTTCATTCAAAAAAGGTAAGTCATTCAAATTTACGATTAGTTTTCATTTTAAGTTAAACCACGCTCAAATATTCAGTTCCACTGCGCAACAGACTGTGTGAGAGAGATATTATATACTTCAGTGTGAAAGAGTTTCTGAAGTTGAGAAAAGTAATATTTTCATTGCAGTGAACATAACACTTTATATTTCATTAAGGTGAACATAACACTTTGACGGAACTATTGTCATACAAGAGTTAACTCCCCTTAAATTGTCTCCCTTTATTGTAAGTGTCAAGCCCGTACACAAACTGTTGACGTCCTTTTTACGTTAGTTCCACATTGACAAGGCAAAATAATGACAGATGATTATTAATGGAGTTCATAACACTTCTTGCCCTTTGTAATCTCTCGAAATATCCTCTATATATTGGACCGACAATGTTTACAGGTCTTTACAGTGTTGTGCACTCAAAACAACCCACTTGCCCAACGGTAGACAACCAGATTATGGAAACACGAATACGTACATACACCTGAAACACAAGTGTCAAAACATGTGGTGTTACCCTGGGCAAGTGTCTGAGTTAAAGTGTGCCTCTGTTCACCCAGCGGGGGCACGGGTTGTCCAGTCGTCTAAGGCGCTGCGATTCGCTATGCAGATTTGCATCCCTTGGGCGTGACAGAAACCAATGATTGTGGGTTTGAATCCCGGTTTGCCCCGATAATGTTTCAGGGTTTGTCAGCACGATACCCGTGCTCGTGGGTTTCACCGAAGTGGTAAACGTCTTGAGACCTGCATCACTTCGGGCTTTCCTCCCACATTAAAGTGACTAACCGCGATATAACTGGAATACTGTTAAAAGCGGCGTTAAACCCATCTCACTCACTCACTCACTCATGTGACCAAGTTGAAAGGGGGGGGGGGAGTCTTCGATAAAATTTCAATTTCAAAATTATCCTGAACATCAATAACATTTTGAAATATAATGCAAATCTCAAGACATATAGATAAGTATACTCCAATATGTCCAGTAAACAATTGTTTTCGTTCTTTTAAGGTTACCGACTATCAGATCGTTTCTATGAGATTTTGGTGAAGAAGTTTGACCGTCAAGGGCGCGGCACCGTGGCGTTTGATGACTTCATCCAGTGCTGTGTAGTGCTGCAGGTGGGTGTCGTGGCACATTCTATAAAGCCAGGGTCTCTTCCCTGGGAGGACCCGGAGAAGACTAGGTCTTCAGCAACCCATGCTTGTCAAAAAGAGGCGAATGACGGGATCGGGTGGTCAGGCTTGCTGACTTTGTTGATGCATGTCATCGTATCTCAGTTGTGTTAATTGATGCTTTTGATAACAATCAATGGATTGTCTGGTGTAGACTCGATTATTTTCAGACCTCCATCACATAGCTGATTGCGGCGTTAAGTAACAAACAAACAAACAAATGTTATAAGTGTTGTCAGATACCATTTGTTCTGTGAACAAGGGAGGTTTTGGCCTAAGGAGGGGCTGTCGGTACAATGGGTACAATGTGTGAAGCCCATTTCTGGTGTCCCTCGCCATGATATTGCTGGAATATTGCTACCAACGTAGTACCAGCATCACTTTGGACTATCCTCCCAAAGACTAGTTGTCATTTAATTGAGATATTGTTCGAAGTGACACAAACCCGCCTCACTCATGACACATTAACTTCACTTACAGTGTTATTATAAAATCTTACACATGACACACTTTCTTTTTCAGACGTTAACTGGCGCTTTCCGCGGCCACGACACAGACCAAGATGGCTGGATCAGGATCACCTATGAACAGTTTTTGACGCTGGTGTTCAGTCTGCGGAGTTAGCGGGACAACTTGATGCCAGTTACACGACACTTGATTCCTACTGACTTGCTGCTCATAAGAAAAGCCATGTTGTTTTATAATTTGTGGATTACACGTTGTATGAAGATATAACAGGGACTTGTTTCTTTAGGAGGAAGATTTTGTTCACGTTTGTTAGTTCATGTCTGTAACAAGAGTAATTTAAAGTAAAACAGGCCAACGTTCTGCTCTGACAGGGTTTTGTTGACGTTTGTTAGTTCCTGTAACGAGAGTAATATTAAATAACAGATGCTCTGTGGTGTTTTGTTAAAGTTAATTGATGATGAATTATCCAGCTAGGAAATAATGTAACGGTACCATGGTTACGTGTCACAACAGATATGAGACATGTATGCTTGATTTATGAAATGCATGACTATTGGTCCAACGTGATCCAATGCTGCTCCTACCCAAGTGATAATCATGATAATCACTGCTTGTTTTGTAGCGCATGTTGTGAGTCCGTTCTGTAATATTTCTTCAAGAAGAAAACGGGTTAATGTTGTATCAACTCTGTCATCTCAAGCAATGCTGATTTTACACAATTACGTACATGTCAACGATATCATCCCCTACACTCTTTGCCATGGATGTGACATCGGATGTGTTGTCAGTGATCAGATAGCCATCTATTCCCCCACACATCACTGTACCACGCTTGAGCAGTACCTGGCCTACCCCTCCTTACAATCCCATCTCTTCTCCACCTAGTTTTGAAACATTTAAGAACAGTTGTATATTTTTTCCCAGTTGTTGGCTTGTGTTTTGTTGGCTAGTTAGAGGGAAATTCATATCTTATTAATCTTATAAGGCTTGTCACAATCACTTTGTATAGTGTAGACCAGACTCAAAATGTTTTTATGCCAAATGTAGACTAAGTGTATTTTTATATATGTATGTATACTAAATGTATTTCTGGGGCTTATGTTCAAGAAATGCTATGCTTCGAGGACTGTCTTCATTAGATCCATGTTCCACATACTACATTTGTCTAGGAGTATTACGATAGTCATGTCTATGTTAAGGTATTGGTTTTACGAGGGGTGTAAGTGGGTGTTGAAGTATGGGTTTTATGATAGTCGTAAGTCTATGTAAAATATGGGATTTACAGTAGTCCTAATTCTGTTTATGCAGTGGGAGTCACTGGTTGATGGATTTCTGTATCAGGATGATTGGAAGATGTGGTCCAGCAACAATAACAGTAAATGCCTTATGACAGTTTCACGTCTAAGACAACACTGCAAATGTGCTTGATGCCCCAATAGGCTTGACTTCTTCTTCACACAGAGAAATATCCAGTAGAGCCTTGAACCACGTAGAGCTAGCTGCAGCACTGTCGATATATCAGCCAGTTCCACAGCGCACCCAGGGGTACTTCGGTCAAAGTTTTCAAGCATTGTGATATTTGTCCTATATTTTCAGAGCATGTGAAGTATTCATGAAATCATTACGTGGAGAGATGGACGCGGGACTTTGTAATGGCAGTTTTTGAAGAAGCAAATGTACTTAGGTATCATGCTGAGTGAAATGAGCATGCATTTAAACAGAATATTTTCTTCAAGCAGTGTACCACTTAGATGTCACTTCATATCTGGAAATGGTAGTTTTTGGTAGAAATTGTGTGTAATCATAACCTCTTAACCATTGATTTCTTACATGATCATAAACTGATAAGGCCTGTTCTGAGGCATGTCACCGAATGCTTCCAATCTGTTCACTGATCACCAACTTCTGCTCGTGTGTGGTTGGTGATTGTGACGTAGATCGTGACCCTGTGTTAGATCCAGGGCCAACTAAAGTAGTATCTGTTCTTGTCCTTCACACGGTCTTCGTGTTAAATATTGTGTGAAGATTACTAAATCTGACCTGTAGAAGAGAATGACACAGTCCAGTAATCCTGCAGAGATTGTCTATGTCCCAAGCTGTAAACATGAAAAGGAATATACCATTCTTTTTATAATAAATCTTTCTACATTGAATTCCATGTTATTTTCATTTGACAAGACACAAATAAATGAAGTCAGAACTCACTGCTAGTCCTGGGACACACCCTGTGGGGATTCCGGGTTAAAGTTGGTCCCTAGCAACATATGCTGGTTGTAAGAGGCGAACAAATGGATCGGGTGGTCAGGCTCGGTGACTAGGTTTGACTGCATCACAACACACCAGACGGGACGGCATGTGGAGTTTAAAAGCAACACAAACAACACACAGGTACGCCTGCACATACTGTATGTTATGAATGTTAAAGGTATCTGTATTGCAACTTTTATTTGTTTGGATACCATAAAATTACAATAACCACATGGTACCTAGCAATATTGTTTTGTTTCATTTATGTTTGAATCAATGCATCTGTATCACTCTTATCAGTTGTTGGCTGGTTGGTACAGCTGATATTAAAGCCAACGAAAGAAGTCTGGAGCATTACTGATGCTGTGTGAATCCCGGAGGCAGCAAGGATATGTGGCCTCCATTCCTGCCATGTGTGGTTTGCCTGCTCCAAATCAGATAACCGTATCATTCATGTACACACTTTGGAGTGAAGCTCCTTCCATCATGTAACTGTTTGAACGGCTGCTCGTGAATGGGTGATTGTGCCTGCAGTCTACACACAACAGTGTTCCAGCAGTCTACACACAACAGTGTTCCAGCAGTCTACACACGACGTGTTCCAGCAGTCTACACACAGCAGTGTTACAGCAGTCAACACACAACAGTGTTCCAGCAGTCTACACACAGCAGTGTTCCAGCAGTCTACACACAGCAGTGTTCCAGCAGTCTACACACAGCAGTGTTCCAGCAGTCTACACACAACAGTGTAACAGCAGTCTACACACAACAGTGTTCCAGCAGTCTACACACAGCACTGTTCCAGCAGTCTACACACAGCACTGTTCCAGCAGTCTACACACAACAGTGTTCCAGCAGTCTACACACAACAGTGTTCCAGCAGTCTACACACAGCACTGTTCCAGCAGTCTACACACAACAGTGTTCCAGCAGTCTACACACAACAGTGTTCCAGCAGTCTACACACAACAGTGTTACAGCAGTCTACACACAACAGTGTTCTAGCAGTCTACACACAACAGTGTTCCTGCAGTCTACACACAACAGTGTTACAGCAGTCTACACACAACAGTGTTACTGCAGTCTACACACAACAGTGTTCCAGCAGTCTACACACAACACTGTTCCAGCAGTCTACACACAGCAGTGTTCCAGCAGTCTACACAGAACACTGTTCCAGCAGTCTACACACAAGTGTACCAGCAGTCTACACAGAACACTGTTCCAGCAGTCTACACACAACAGTGTTCCAGCAGTCTACACACAACAGTGTTCCAGCATTCTACACACAACACTGTTCCAGCAGTCTACACACAACAGTGTTCCAGCAGTCTACACACAACAGTGTTCCAGCAGTCTACACACAACAGTGTTACAGCAGTCTACACACAACAGTGTTACTGCAGTCTACACACAACAGTGTTACAGCAGTCTACACACAACAGTGTTCCAGCAGTCTACACACAGCAGTGTTCCAGCAGTCTACACAGAACACTGTTCCAGCAGTCTACACACAAGTGTACCAGCAGTCTACACAGAACACTGTTCCAGCAGTCTACACACAACAGTGTTCCAGCAGTCTACACACAACAGTGTTCCAGCATTCTACACACAACAGTTTTACAGCAGTCTACACACAACAGTGTTCCAGCAGTCTACACACAACAGTGTTCCAGCAGTCTACACACAACAGTGTTACAGCAGTCTACACTCAACAGTGTTCCAGCAGTCTACACACATAAGTGTTCCAGCAGTCTACACACAACAGTGTTCCAGCAGTCTACACACAGCACTGTTCCAGCAGTCTACACACAACAGTGTTCCAGCAGTCTACACACAGCACTGTTCCAGCAGTCTACACACAACAGTGTAACAGCAGTCTACACACAACACTGTTCCTGCAGTCTACACACAGCACTGTTCCAGCAGTCTACACACAACAGTGTTCCAGCAGTCTACACACAACAGTGTTCCAGCAGTCTACACACAGCAGTGTTCCAACAGTCTACACACAACAGTGTTACAGCAGTCTACACACAACAGTGTTCTAGCAGTCTACACACAACAGTGTTCCAGCAGTCTATACACAACAGTGTTACAGAAGTCTACACACAACAGTGTTACTGCAGTCTACACACAACAGTGTTCCAGCAGTCTACACACAACACTGTTCCAGCAGTCTACACACAACAGTGTTCCAGCAGTCTACACACAACAGTGTTACAGCAGTCTACACACAACAGTGTTCCAGCAGTCTACACACAACAGTGTTCCAGCAGTCTACACACAACAGTGTTCCAGCATTCTACACACAACAGTGTTACAGCAGTCTACACACAACAGTGTTCCAGCAGTCTACACACAACAGTGTTCCAGCAGTCTACACACAACAGTGTTACAGCAGTCTACACTCAACAGTGTTCCAGCAGTCTACACACACCAGTGTTCCAGCAGTCTACACACAACAGTGTAACAGCAGTCTAAACACAACAGTGTTCCAGCAGTCAACACACAACAGTCTTCACACAACAGTGTTCCAGCAGTCTACACACAACAGTGTTCCAGCAGTCAACACACTACAGTCTTCACACAACAGTGTTCCAGCAGTCTACACACAGCAGTGTTCAAGCAGTCTACACACAGCAGTGTTACAGCGGTCTACACACAGCAGTGTTCCAGCAGTCTACACACAACAGTGTTCCAGCAGTCTACACACAGCAGTCTACACACAACAGTGTTCCAGCAGTCTACACACAACACTGTTCCAGCAGTCTACACACAACAGTGTTACAGCAGTCTACACACAACAGTGTTCCAGCAGTCTACACACAACAGTGTTCCAGCAGTCTACACACAACAGTGTTACAGCAGTCTACACACAACAGTGTTCCAGCAGTCTACACACAACAGTGCTCCAGCAGTCAACACACTACAGTGTTCCAGCATTCTACACACAACAGTGTTACAGCAGTCTACACACAACAGTGTTCCAGCAGTCTACACACAACAGTGTTCCAGCAGTCTACACACAACAGTGTTACAGCAGTCTACACTCAACAGTGTTCCAGCAGTCTACACACACCAGTGTTCCAGCAGTCTACACACAACAGTGTAACAGCAGTCTAAACACAACAGTGTTCCAGCAGTCAACACACAACAGTCTTCACACAACAGTGTTACAGCAGTCTACACACAACAGTGTTCCAGCAGTCAACACACTACAGTCTTCACACAACAGTGTTCCAGCAGTCTACACACAGCAGTGTTCAAGCAGTCTACACACAGCAGTGTTACAGCGGTCTACACACAGCAGTGTTCCAGCAGTCTACACACAACAGTGTTCCAGCAGTCTACACACAGCAGTCTACACACAACAGTGTTCCAGCAGTCTACACACAACACTGTTCCAGCAGTCTACACACAACAGTGTTACAGCAGTCTACACACAACAGTGTTCCAGCAGTCTACACACAACAGTGTTCCAGCAGTCTACACACAACAGTGTTCCAGCAGTCTACACACAACAGTGTTACAGCAGTCTACACACAACAGTGTTCCAGCAGTCTACACACAACAGTGCTCCAGCAGTCAACACACTACAGTCTTCACACAACAGTGTTCCAGCAGTCTACACACAACAGTGTTCCAGCAGTCTACACACAGCGGTGTTCCTGCAGTCTACACACAGCAGTGTTACAGCAGTCTACACACAGCAGTGTTCCAGCAGTCTACACACAACAGTGTTCCAGCAGTCTACACACAGCAGTCTACACACAACAGTGTTCCAGCAGTCTACACACAACAGTGTTACAGCAGTCTACACACAACAGTGTTCCAGCAGTCTACACACAACAGTGTTCCAGCAGTCTACACACATCAGTGTTACAGCAGTCTACACACAACAGTGTTCCAGCAGTCTACACACAACAGTGTTACAGCAGTCTACAAACAACAGTGTTACAGCAGTCTACACACAACAGTGTTCCAGCAGTCTACACACAACAGTGTTCCAGCAGTCTACACACACCAGTGTTCCAGCAGTCTACACACAACAGTGTAACAGCAGTCTAAACACAACAGTGTTCCAGCAGTCAACACACAACAGTCTTCACACAACAGTGTTCCAGCAGTCTACACACAACAGTGTTCCAGCAGTCAACACACTACAGTCTTCACACAACAGTGTTCCAGCAGTCTACACACAACAGTGTTCCAGCAGTCTACACACAGCAGTGTTCCAGCAGTCTACACACAGCAGTGTTACAGCGGTCTACACACAACAGTGTTCCAGCAGTCTACACACAACAGTGTTCCAGCAGTCTACACACAGCAGTCTACACACAACAGTGTTCCAGCAGTCTACACACAGCAGTGTTCCAGCAGTCTACACACAACAGTGTTCCAGCAGTCTACACACAACAGTGTTCCAGCAGTCTACACACAGCAGTCTACACACAACAGTGTTCCAGCAGTCTACACACAGCAGTGTTCCAGCAGTCTACACACAACAGTGTTACAGCGGTCTACACACAACAGTGTTCCAGCAGTCTACACACAACAGTGTTCCAGCAGTCTACACACAGCAGTCTACACACAACAGTGTTCCAGCAGTCTACACACAACAGTGTTCCAGCAGTCTACACACAACACTGTTCCAGCAGTCTACACACAACAGTGTTCCAGCAGTCTACACACAGCAGTGTTACAGCAGTCTACACACAACAGTGTTTCAGCAGTCTACACACAGCAGTGTTCCAGCAGTCTACACACAGCAGTGTTACAGCAGTCTACACACATAAGTGTTCCAGCAGTCTACACACAGCACTGTTCCAGCAGTCTACACACAGCAGTGTTGCAGCAGTCTACACACAGCAGTGTTCCAGCAGTCTACACACAACAGTGTTCCAGCAGTCAACATACAATAGTGTTCCAGCAGTCTACACACAGCAGTGTTCCTGCAGTCTACACACAACAGTGTTCCAGCAGTCTACACACAACAGTGTTCCAGCAGTCAACACACAACAGTGTTCCAGCAGTCAACACTCAACAGTGTTCCAGCAGTCTACACACAACAGTGTTACAGCAGTCAACACACAACAGTGTTCCAGCAGTCTACACACAACACTGTTCCAGCAGTCTACACACAACAGTGTTCCAACAGTCTACACACAGCAGTGTTCCAGCAGTCTACACACACCACTGTTCCAGCAGTCTACACACAACAGTGTTACAGCAGTCAACACACAACAGTGTTACAGCAGTCAACACACAACAGTGTTCCAGCAGTCAACACACAACAGTGTTCCAGCAGTCAACACACAACAGTGTTCCAGCAGTCAACACTCAACAGTGTTCCAGCAGTCTACACACAACAGTGTTACAGCAGTCAACACACAACAGTGTTCCAGCAGTCAACACACAACAGTGTTCCAGCAGTCAACACTCAACAGTGTACCAGCAGTCAACACACAACAGTGTTACAGCAGTCAACACACAACAGTGTTACAGCAGTCAACACACAACAGTGTTACAGCAGTCAACACACAACAGTGTTTCAGCAGTCAACACACAACAGTGTTACAGCAGTCAACACACAGCAGTGTTACAGCAGTCAACACACAACAGTGTTCCAGCAGTCAACACTCAACAGTGTTCCAGCAGTCAACACACAACAGTGTTCCAGCAGTCAACACTCAACAGTGTTCCAGCAGTCTACACACAACAGTGTTACAGCAGTCAACACACAACAGTGTTCCAGCAGTCAACACACAACAGTGTTCCAGCAGTCAACACTCAACAGTGTACCAGCAGTCAACACACAACAGTGTTACAGCAGTCAACACACAACAGTGTTACAGCAGTCAACACACAACAGTGTTACAGCAGTCAACACACAACAGTGTTACAGCAGTGAACACACAACAGTGTTACAGCAGTCTACACACAACAGTGTTCCAGCAGTCAACACTCAACAGTGTTTGATCTCCATTTATTGAACAGATCTGTACAAATAATGTCTCCATCTGACAGGGATCATACATATATACAAGTGAAGAGTATGGTCACTACGGCAACAACTTCATTTAAAACAGTCTGATATGTCACATTTCCAACTAGATGAATGTTTACAAAAACAACATTAAGGTCAAACTCCCTGACTTCCTGGCCATATAAAATATTTGCAAAAAATCCTGATGAATGTTACTATTACAGGACCCTCATATTTCCTATAAGGACCCTGACATTATTAAATGGGGGTACCTTCAACCTCTAGTTTTGTAGGTCAAGGTAAAACCCTGGGTACCTATACAGAGATAAATGCTGAGTCAGCAATAAAAATACAATCTGGCGGTTCCAGGTTTGAGGGAGTATTTTACAGAAACGTGGCGCATAAAACAACATGGAAACAATGGCCATCTAAACATAAATGTCTGAAAGTCTCAATCAAATATATGGTAATACCAGGTAATGGAAAGCTTTTCATTTGTTTTTTACATACTTTTTTATACAATTTATCACAGCTGAAAACATTTAAAGAAATGTAATCAAAAACAAGTGTCCATTATGTGTAAATTATACAAAAAGAAATGTAGTTGACAGGAATGAAAGTTGTGTGTTCTTGTGGTTGACAGCAGGTAGTGCAGGTCTAATGTAGAGGCCACGTGGTTGTTGAGATCCTGTGAGAAGTATACTTGTGCAAGACTAGTCCATCTATCCCCATATCTGACATCATGGACGTGTCAGGTCAACTTGTGGTGAAAACATCCAACACAGGTCCTGTATAGGGGATTAACATCTGTGAAGGTCACTCTCTGGACGTGTACTCACTCTCCTATTTGCTGGTCCACTGTTTTGGAGAGGTGTTCCACCAAGTCATCCAGTGTAACATTCATATAGGTCACTCTCAGGTCAAGTCTTCCCTCTCCTTAAACTGATGGTCCACTGTTTTAGAGAGATACTCCACCAAGTCATCCAGTGTAACATTCATATAGGTCACTCTCGGGTCAAGTCTTCCCTCTCCTTAAACTGATGGTCCACTGTTTTAGAGAGATACTCCACAAAGTCATCCAGTGTAACATTCATTCAGGTCACTCTCGGGTCAAGTCTTCCCTCTCCTTAAACTGATGGTCCACTGTTTTAGAGAGATACTCCACAAAGTCGTCCAGCGTCACTGTAGAAGTCTACAGACAATGGGAAAACAGAAAATATAACATACCACATAGGACTGGGTTCTAGCGCACACAGCAAGAATTGGGGCTCTGTAGGTCACCTAGCTCTTCAACATAACAAACATATCACAGGGAGGAACATTCTATCTAAGCCCCCTCCCCTCCACTGCATCCTTCTGTACAGTATCAAAATGCTAAAATTCACAAATTAAATTCTATTCTACAAATCTGTGGATCAATAACCAAAATATAAGTCTTATCTTTGAATGAAGACTATTGATAGGATCATATCATGTTTCAACGTGTGGTTTAATTGTCGCAAGAGGGGACTAACAGGATTGGGTGGTCAGGCTCGCTGACTTTGTTGATGCATGTCATCATATCCCAATTGCGAGATTGATGCTCATGATGTCAATTACTGGATTGTCTGGTTCAAACTCGATTATTTACAGATAACTGGAATATTGCTGTGTGGGGTGTTAAACAACAAACAAACAAACATTAATGAGGACAAAAAATATGATAGACAGAAATAAGTAGTTTATATGGCCAATGAAAAGCATCCTAAACTGAATGATTTGACTGGTAGTACCACAAATTTCAGCCTCATCAAGAAGCCTGGAGATTTTACCTGCACAAACATGGCGTGAGCAATGAAAGGGAGTTTCCGCAGGGTCCTTCCACTCAAACCTTGGCTCTTGCTGTGAAGGAAGGAAGTCAAATAGGATCATATTAGAGAATTATACTTTTACATAACATCAGCAGTCTTTCACCCACATTTGACACAAACTTGGGACATAGTTGCTACAAAGTCACCAACTGTCACTGTCCACAAAAACATGGTGGCAAAATCATGATGTGTGATGACTACACCAGGGGTCACATTTATCGTCACACACCCATCCAGGGTCACACCCATCCAGGATCACACCCATCCAGGATCACACCCATCCAGGGGTCACACCCATCCAGGATCACACCCATCCAGGATCACACCCATCCAGGATCACACCCATCCAGGGTCACATCCAGGATCACACCCATCCAGGGTCACATCCATCCAGGATCACACCCATCCAGGGGTCACACCCATCCAGGATCTCACCCATCCAGGATCACATCCATCCAGGATCACACCCATCCAGGGGTCACACCCATCCAGGGTCACATCCAGGATCACACCCATCCAGGGTCACACCCATCCAGGATCACACCCATCCAGGATCTCACCCATCCAGGATCTCACCCATCCAGGGGTCACACCCATCCAGGATCACACCCATCCAGGGGTCACACCCATCCAGGGTCACATCCAGGATCACACCCATCCAGGGTCACACCCATCCAGGATCACACCCATCCAGGATCTCACCCATCCAGGATCTCACCCATCCATCCAGACAGTAACTCCTACTTCCAAGCTTGTACAAGCTAGGACAAATTCCGTTACCATTAAAGGGGAAGTGTACACGCAAAAATCACTTTCTTTCTTTTTCTAAACAAAACGCAATTTTAGAATTAGTTAGTATCTGTGTTTGAAAATATACACTCATTTTTTTCACAGTGAAAGTAGGAAGCTCACAATAGTGTTAAAATGATATGCCGTTATGAAGCCTTCGTTTTACGAGCGAAATAGGCCTGAGTTATCCCCCCTTAGATTATGACGTAATTGGTGCCAATTCAACTGGGTCCCTGTCTATTCTCAACGCAAAAGATATCAAGGACCAGTTTGCGGTAAAACAACATGGTCTACGACACACTCGGCGCAGTGGTGACTCAGCATAACACAATTCTGGCTGGCATCTGAGACGCTAGAATCACAAAACTGTACCTACACCATGTGAAGCGGCTCTAACAAAGCATGATGACGTCATAATGTTTATCAATTGGCACCAATGACGTCATATTGCAAGGGGCATAAGCCATGGTGTTTTTGTTATGGAAATAGAACACTTGGTAAATGTGAAAAATATCAATCGTTTTAATGCAAAAAATATGTTAATTAAATTTGATGTTTTTATATTTTTGTCTATGACACTTCTATGTTAACACTTTTAATGTGGAAAAAGTACAAGAATAATTGGTTCATTTCCGTGTGAACTTGCCCTTTAAGTACAATAGGTGTACAGTGAACCCTGTCAGTCCAGTCTATGTTTGTGGCATATGCTCCATTCTAGACAACTGCATTTAGAAATGTCTTTATATCATACATGACACATCTCCATGATTCGTTAATCCAGAGGATTTGGGGAAGGTATCACAAATATACATGATACAATCTCATTATCAAAACCTACCACACAATGCAGACAATTTCATGATCATTTCTTACATAGCAACATTCCTGAGGTGTAGACTGAGTCTAGTGGCATCGTTCTCTATAAACCTCATCACCTCCAGGTCTCTGAGGTCCAACAACTGCTGGGCGGGGCTGATTATCCCTGACTGAAACAAAATAGTGGAACATGAGGCTGCAGATAACAATCTCACATCACATTGGCACGTGACAGTGTAAGACTGATTCCTCCCATACACTGTTCATACGACAGCCTCCGTGGTCTAGTGGTAGAGCGTCCGCCCGGGGAGCAGAAGGTCCAGAGTTCAATCCCCGGCCACGTCATACCAAAAGACGTTAAAAGGTGGTACTTGTTGTTACCCTGTCTGGCACTCGGCATTAAGGGGCAAAAACAAGGACTGGTCGGCTCGGGGTCAGTATACTGTGTCTGAGTGGGGTATTCATGTTAAACTGCGGCATGGTATCTCAGTGTGCTAGCACTATAATTCGGCATCAGTCCGGACTAGTGCCAGCCAGCCAGCCAGCCAGCCAGCCAGCCAGCCAGCAAACCACACGTGCGTCGTCGTATTTCACCTCAGCTCACCCCACCCCCATTGTTCACACCTTCATGCCATGTATCTGGGTACAAGAACCTTGTCCTGGCTCCTATGCCATGTTTGTTTCAAATACCATAATACCAATGCAGCATTTCAGTGACATGGAGGTGGCAAACGTTACACTTCCCAATGCTATGAGAAAGTGTTGTGTTTGTTTGTTGTTTAAAACATGTTGTAAAACTGCACTCAGCAATATTCTGGTGATATGATGGCAGTCAGAAAGATTTCAAGTCTGGACTAGACAAACCAGTGATTGATATTGAGAGCATTAATCCAAATTACCAAGCCTAATCAACCAAACGGACATGTTCGATAAAGCTTAAAAATTGATCATTGGAAGTGAACCATGAGATGTGCAGATGAATAATACAATTTGAGAACTGAAAGCCAAATAATGATAATGATATAACCCTAATATCAAGGTGCATTGTTTCAGCTATAGGGTTGAGTTTAATATCATCTCAGTTGTAGGGGCTGCTGTCGTATGGTTGAGGCTGCAGTGCAGCGGCTGTATCGGGGTGGTTTCACAGACTGTTATCTCACCCTCATCAGTTCGTTGAGACAGGAGAGGTAGATCTTGAATATTGCACATGGAGAGGGAGGTCCGATGTACTGCTTGATGTCTGCCCGGTCTACAAACGCCAAGTCTATAGCACCGGTCACGTTAGATGTTGTCAGGATCAGTACATTTGGGTGTCTGAAACAGGAGTGCATATTATATCACACTTGCTTACGGAGATTCGCAATCTCATTAAAATCAGATCTTAATTCTCGCTATCGCTAAACAAAGATCTGAGGACATCCCACTAAGGGTCACGTCAGAACAACCTTTTATCTGACCAATCAAAGCGTCGCTTACCAGATCATGAAAGTGATAGTCAGAATATGTTTTATAATCATGCAACCTCGAAAGCGTTAACACAGTGTATTCCGAAAAACAGTTACGGCCCATACGACTGATTTCGTCAAAATTATCGTCTGTCTCTCGCTTCCGTGGGATAAACATTTGAACGGAGGAGGAATTGCACAGTACATGGGAAGCACTACCATACAATCTCAACCATATATTAGACATTCCGGGATGTTCGTTTGTTCAGTTTTCAAAATTTTAATCGACAACTTTGTCAACATATTTTACAAGCATAGTCTGAAATGGAAGTCGCTAGGTTGAGACGAGTGCTGTAAAGCTTGATAAAGCTGCTTTCTAACTGGCTGATGTTGACTTCTTGTTAGTCATTTCAGTGGTCGGTCAAAGTTTGCAAAAGTTCGTTCTGACCCCTAATGGTATGTCCTAAGATCTTTGTTTAGCGGCAGCGAGAACTTAGATCTGATTTTTATGAGATTGGGAGATTCGTTAAAGGGTAAAACTGTTCCTTAAACAAGCCTCTATGATCATGAGGACACAAGAAAACATCTTTTTAATAGATTTATATGTTCACCTTCAATAAAAGAACAAATCTCAATCACAAGAACAGGAAGGAACTGTTACTTCGATTAAAGTTTGTATTACCAGTATTTCAGTTCATTTTAACATGTTTAAAGATGGACAACCAGAACACTTTATCTAATGTAAATCATTCCTGGATAGCATTTAACAAAGATATTTTTAGTCCTCATTTCAAGATGTGGAACAGCCTCTTGTTATCTATGTAATACTATGTGTGATTGGGTAAGTTAACAGTATTCCAGTCATATCACAGCATGTCAACTTATAAATTATGGTCAGAGGAAAGCCAAGGTGATGCAGGTCTTAGACATTACCACATTGGTGAAACCCACGAGCACGGGGATGGTCAAACATAAACTTAACAATCAGGGCAAACTGGGAGCTGAACCCACAATCAAAGGGCCACCTGTGTAAATTTTACAATAATTTGTATATTTATATACTTATCCTATCGTACACTAAGCAATTATTCCTTCTTCTTTCGATCCTATGTGGAAACAAGCATGAACAAAATTTCCCGCTTCTTAAAAACAATTCACCCAAACACATCCCAGCATGAACTTCCAAACAAATGGTCCATCCTGTGCAGGGCAACCTACATGACTTGATCACATGACTACCCTTGACGCGTTATTTTTCTTTTGCAGAACTATCAGGCTAGAGGAGCTGTGATGCAGGGATCGTCGGGAGGGCATACAGCTTGTGAGATAGGATAAGGATACAAATATACGCGGGACAAGCAGGACAACAGGATGGACCAATTTGCTGCTGACACATTTCGCAGATTCGCTAACATCCTTGGAGGCGGAGAACGACATGGTGTATCTGGAGGAGAACTTCAATCCTCCCACCCATGACTTCACGGAGATCACGCTTGGCAGGCACGAACTCTGTCACTCTCTCTTCTGCTGTTCCTCCAATTGTCTTAGATGTAGTCGAAGTAGATCGACAGACACCTTGGGATGGGTGTCACGTGTAATGTCTTGAATCTGGAGAGACTGACTTGACCAAGGGAGCCGGCACAGGCATGCCTTAAAGGGATCGTCCCATTGATCTTGTTGAAGGACACCTTGGCGTCGAAGGGCTGTAAGAGCAGGTCAAACATGGTTTCAGTCCCCGAGAGGACAGTGAAAATCAAAGGGAGCATAACGATGGTATCCAGATGAGCCAGATGGAAGTCCTCCACAGAAGTCATTGTAAGGCTGGGACTGGTAACTCAGGTACTCAATCGGGTGTGTACTGAGAAGGATCTGGGTACCCACAGGGCAACCAGGACCCGTGGTTAGTCACCTGATATATTGTTTAATGGCAAAAATGACCTAAAGTTCACATTCACTTTTATATGTTTAAATAAAGAATAAATTTCAGTCAGCTTCAGTGTATGTATGACCATATCATATTATACATGTAGCTAAATACATTTTGCCAGGACTACGGTCAAACTATTCCTAATCGTAAATTTTGTAACTATCTCTTGAGGCTGACAGCCGGGTTCCCGGGATGGGTGGTGTAATAGAGGGGTGGGTACCTCGGTAGTAAATTTGGACTCGTCCAAGCTCTAATCACTTGGGACAAAGGGTCAACATCCCCATCCAGGTCAGGAGCTCTAGCAAAGCTGAGACAGTCCATGTGTGCAGGATTCTTCCACACGAACACGTGGAGGCTGCAGCCGATCCCGCAATCAGTCATGACAGGCCTGGGAGGGAGCGTTAGGTTCAAGGAAGTCAAGCTGTCAAGAAGAGGTACCACCGGCAGTCTGGAGCGATCCTGGAAGGCAGAAGTCACAGACTGCAGGAACAATTCTAGGTTCGACGCAGGAATATTATCCAGGTTGCGATGGTCCCAGGAGGTAAGTAGCAGTTGAGTTGGTGACGGGATCGTCGTAGAAGGACGCAGTGCAGATGACCGGGAATGATTAGGTGAGTGGCGATCCACACAATCGTGGAGTAGAGGGGAACAGCGATCGTGATCCAAGGTAGTTCCAGAAGAGGAGAGCGGTAGTAATGAACAGGGGAGAGGAAGTACAAAAAAGACGAAGCATACAGGTACCCATGCTAGTGAGGAGACGGGTCCATACGTAACATGAAAGTCCTGTTGATGACGATTCTACGTTGATCTGAATAACCTGAGGACAGGGAGTGACACCAGGTCAGAGGAGCCATCCTCTAAATCATGTTCAGCGGGAGTGGTACAAGATGAATCTGTAGTGTTTGTGCGAAAGCATCGATGCAGAGAGGGTCGTTACTCCAATTGTTGATCCTGAGATGGTCAATCCTCCAACTGTGGATAGCAAGAGTGTCAATCCCGAGTACAACCAGGTGATCTGGAACAACGATCCTCCGACTGTTGAACAATAGGTGAGCGATCCTTAGAGCGCCACTCCTGCAAGCAACTATTCTTGGAACGGTGGCCCTTGGAAGAAGCGATCCATCAATCCTTAGTAGAGGGTGGACCTGTTCGACCAATCCCAGGGAAAGTCGTACTCGTCACTTTGATGGAGGAGTGCCAGTATCTTTGGATGAAGAGAAACGAGCATCACTAGCTGAAATATCACATAAGAAGTGACAGATGAACGAGGGGTGGTAAGAGGGTCGACCGGGGACACAGTCAAAGCCGACTTGGGGAAATCGACGGAGGAAAGAACCTTGCGAACGTCCGATGTAGCTGGTTGTTCCAACAGAGGCACGGACCCGGTCATATCAGGAACGGACTGTTGAACTTGAACTGACACAGTAGAGACGAGTATCAGGAGGGTCCGAAGTAGAGAAGGTAGTTCTACAGTTCAGGAAGCCTGGGCGATGTTTCTTATCCACTTTCCTTTTTTCACAAACAATAACTTAAGTATGAACTTGGCGGTAATTCTAGCAACAAAAACAAAAAAGCGGTCTCTGAACACTCAATGCACATCTCCACTGTGTGGCCATTTGTTTGGGTGGTGACCATGATGATGCTGAGATGTGTTTCGGTGAATTGTTTTTTAGAAGCTGGAAACTTTGTGAGATAGAATAACTATAGGGAAATGTATACCTTTTGATCTGGTCGATCTGGGTAAGGAGTGCGTTGACCACCCGTATAGCATCTGATGGTTCACTGCCTGACAGGGCGCTCTTCCTGGCTGACGTCAGGCTCTCTACCTGCACAACATTGGCAACACACATCTTAGACTGGATTCAATAACATAAAACAGAACACAGACACAGGCTCATACAGCACCAATGCTTTACACAAAGGATGATAAGCTACAAGAACTGACATATATGTACAGCCAAACCTTGTTGTGTCAAGGGGCGGTCAGGTAGCCTAGTGGTTAAAGAGTTCGCTTGTCACGCCAAAGACCGGGGTTTGATTCCCGACATGGGTACAATGTGTGAAGCCCATTTCTGGTGTCTCTCGCTGTGATATTACTGGAATATTGCTAAAAGCAGTGTTAAACCATACTCACTCATTGTATCAAACTCGTGGAGAACTGGGGAAAAGTTTGAGTCATGCGGGGTTTGAGACAACCAAGAAAGGGAATTTTCGAAAACCAAACATCATGTTGTGAGATTATTACATGTAACTTAGTTTTCTTTAGTTTTCTTTAGTTTCATACGTTTCAATGTTCAAAACATGTGGTTACAAACAATAATAGATATCTCCAGGCCAAACCAGATCTTTTTGCTAGATTACTTGATTTTCATTAACTTCTGATGTAAGGTGGGCTTTTTAAGGTGGCATGTTATTAGAAAACATCCTCAGAGATGCCAACCCTCATTGATGCCTTGGAGTAGTCAGTGGAGTAAAACAGTGTAATTTCATGTGAAAAAGTGCAGTGTCAATAGTACTATGATGCAGGTTTGTACCCTGACATTTCAGGCCTAGACGTACGTGAAACACAAATACACATGCATTGATGCTAGTGATAGAGTCACATTGGACAACGTCACTACTTGAAACATCAGGTGATAAAGCTCAAAATAAGCAGATAAATGAGCCCACTTGCATTTGTAGGGTTAAATATGACTAAACCTCGAAATTGGAAATCAAACCATAAATATAAAAAAATTGGACATCAACATTGATAAGTACTCGAGTTTGATAACTATGTGCGACAACCTCATCAGTGATATCCATCAGGGCCACATTTCAACAAACATATTTTGTAACTTTGGTAATTAAAATTACATTCACTTATCAAAGCATTTAATTCAAGCTCCTATGTGTGGTCAAGCCACCAAACCCCTCCAATTTTCACACGGCGACTACACAGGGCATCTCATAAAATTTGCGGAAGGTGCCCGGTATACTGCACTCTTGCCGTAACACAGAGTCAAAGCTCCACACATTCATAATTCATCATGTGATGATATTTACTGCAGAGCAGAGAGACAATGTGGTGTTTCAAGTTGGGAAGAAATATCAGTGTACATGCAATTAGTTCCCTGTAGAATGCGTCATGTGACCCGTGCACCAACAATTAGATCTTCGTGATGGCTAATGCATGTAAATAATTTGTCAAAAATGTCAAAAATCATAATTTGGGAAGTACAAGAGTAATAGCGTAATTTAAGTTCAAAAGCGTAATTATTACACCAAAAGCGAAAAGCATAATGGCGGCAGCAATTGCTATGAGGTCAGTCAATTGTGTGTGAAGTAATTTCAAATTTCAAAGTTTGGCAAGTGTGAATGTATTTTATTTTAGTTTTGACTGTTCGAGTCATCAGGAGATTTTATGCATAATGTGGATAGTTGGCACTCCCAAATGAGTTCAAGAGAAAGGAGAATTTGACAAATCCAAGTATAAATGATGAAGACAGAAGACACATTTCGGAGCGACGGGAAGCTGAGTTTGGGGAACTGGTAATTTGACACATCCAAGCTTGATACCACAAGGTTCGACTGACTATACTGTACTTGAGTAAATAACTAAGTATTACAGGAGTTGGCAACTTTGGTGAAACATTGGATGATTGTGAATCTAACGGACAGCTTACCTCGTCTATGAGAACAAAGATCAGAGAGTCGGGATCATTGATGAGTATAACTGAAGTCTTACCTCATCTATGAGAACAAAGACCAGAGAGTCGGGATCATTGATGAGTATAACTGAAGTCTTACCTCATCTATGAGAACAAAGATCAGAGACTCGGGATCATTGATGAGTATAACTGAAGTCTTACCTCATCTATGAGAACAAAGATCAGAGAGTCGGGATCATTGATGAGTATAACTGAAGTCTTACCTCATCTATGAGAACAAAGATCAGAGAGTCGGGATCATTGATGAGTATAACTGAAGTCTTACCTCATCTATGAGAACAAAGATCAGAGAGTCAGGATCATTGATGAGTATAACTGAAGTCTTACCTCATCTATGAGAACAAAGACCAGAGAGTCAGGATCATTGATGAGTATAACTGAAGTCTTACCTCATCTATGAGAACAAAGATCAGAGAGTCGGGATCATTGATGAGTATAACTGAAGTCTTACCTCATCTATGAGAACAAAGACCAGAGACTCGGGATCATTGATGAGTTCCTGGATCTTCTGGAACATCTTCATCACCAACTTCCCACTCTGCAACATTCAGTGATGTGACGTGAACAAACACTGGGGCAGTTACCAGACATGCTAAAGCTAAGATTGCACTTCAGACTTGCTTAAGCTTCAGTAGGACTTCACACCTGCTAAAGCTTCAGATGCACTCTACACGTCCTTAAGCGTAAGTTGCACTTTAAACTTGCTAATGCTTAAGTAAGACTTTTAAACATTTTATATTAACTTGCTAAAGCTTGAGTTGTTGTCAACCACAGGCAGATCTTTGGGACATGGAATACAAACCTCATGCATCATCAAAATGTTGTGAATTGTAACTATTATGTAACATAACACCACTGGCAAGAAATGCGTAAATCTAGACTGAGAAAAAATTAAAATATTGCAATCTCAGTTGTCCATGATCATGTGATTTCAACACTACATGTAAAGATCAGCACAAACCGAGATTTTACACTGATGACCTCAAAATACAACCAGGCGCAAAAATGTTGTACCTACACTAAAGTAGCATAGAATTTCGCACAATTATCCCTAAACTTTCTCTCGGGCAAAAGAACATATTTTAACTTTCTCTCATGCAAAAGAACATATTTTTATGAATTCAACACCTATGTGAGGTACGAGTTAACATATGGAATGTTCAGTATTTTTCCTGACCTCTGAGAACCATTTGGAGAACAAGCTGTGACTGTTGACCTCGATCAGCTGACCATATGTGTATCTGTCGGACAGTCGTATGGACAGTTTCTGTGCCAGGGCCTTACACAGCGACGTCTTCCCTGTGCCGGGGGGGCCTAGGGAGAAGAAAATGTCCAAGACTGTAGCTAATTCCATGTATGAGAGCAGTGTGGGTGACACCTGCTGATTTACTGATGCATACTGTACCACAAAGAGGGAGTGATGGAGTTGGGTTTAACACTGCTTTGATAACATTCCACTTAGTTATATAACGGCATGTCAGCTTTGTGGGAGGAAAACCCGAAGTAATGCAGGTCTCAGATGTTTACCACTTTGGTGAAACACACAAGCAAAGGTATAATGCTAACAAACCTAGAAACATAATGATCGGGGCAAACTGGGAATCAAACCCACGATCATAGGTTTCTAACTTGACCAAGGGATGCAAATCTGCACGGCGAAATGCAGCGCCTTAGACGACTGGGTTACCATGCAACCATTAGCACAAAGAATGTATGTCAGTAACAAGATAATTTAGTTGAGTTGTTCTGTTAAAGATGTTAACAGAAAAGATATATAACCAAGCGATTAACATAATATGACAATGTATATGTTCTAGACTGGGTTGCAATACAAGAAGAGTGTATAACAGCCGAAGCGCTTCATGGTAAATTTGCTCCCGTGAGGCACTGTCTTCATCAGCTGATGAACGTCAACAAATACAACTTATATTGATTAATCATGAAACTTTAATTATTTATAGCGAACTATATCAAGACGGAGAATCGTGACGTCGTGACGTCATCCGTTCCAAACATTCCATTTAGAGTGACATCCCTTGGTTTTACAAACGGCAGAAAATGGTGGCTACCACAATGTCATTCGCTTGAAATTCAAGTTGCACCCTTGAAAGTTAGCGGTGGAATTGGAAACAAAATCCAGACCCGGCTCATGCTGACAATGGAGACATATCAACGTTCTGTGAACTTTTGGTGTGTGTTTGAGTCATACTACGGCTGCTGATGACGGGGATTATCGCTTGAGGCGAAGCGGTTGAATTTACTGAAGCACGATAGTGTGGAGGTCGGTGATTTCTTTCGGTAAGTCGAGCATTCTCTGTTATAGCTTAAAATGGACGCTTCAGTTCGGTGACCCGACATATACATGATCTGTCTAACTTTAAAGCCTGCATCATTCACAGCCTAAATTGATGTCGCTCTCAGTTTTCCCTAATTATTTGTAATGTTAATTTTAGACATTGAGGAATTCCCCTAAAGTAGTTCCGTAAGTCTCTGCGCGATTGACAACGTAATCACGAGATATTCTGACGTTCATCGGGAAATGAACAACAGTCAGCTTGGTCGTGTTCACCTAGGTGAGGTCACCCACTACTGTCAATATTAAGATATGGTCTACACAGGGTGGCAATACAAGAGTGTATAACACATGCTCTACACAGGGTGGCAATACAAGAGTGTATAACACATGCTCTACAGTGGGTGGCAGTACAAGAGTGTATAACACATGCTCTACACAGGGTGGCAATACAAGAGTGTATAACACATGCTCTACACAGGGTGGCAATACAAGAGTGTATAACACATGCTCTACAGTGGGTGGCAGTACAAGAGTGTATAACACATGCTCTACACAGGGTGGCAATACAAGAGTGTATAACACATGCTCTACAGTGGGTGGCAGTACAAGAGTGTATAACACATGCTCTACACAGGGTGGCAATACAAGAGTGTATAACACATGCTCTACACGGGGTGGCAATACAAGAGTGTATAACACATGCTCTACACAGGGTGGCAATACAAGAGTGTATAACACATGCTCTACACAGGGTGGCAATACAAGAGTGTATAACACATGCTCTACACAGGGTGGCAATACAAGAGTGTATAACACATGCTCTACACAGGGTGGCAATACAAGAGTGTATAACACATGCTCTACACAGGGTGGCAATACAAGAGTGTATAACACATGCTCTACAGAGGGTGGCGGTACAAGAGTGTATAAGATATGGTCTAACCATGTAGCAAGACAACTCTATTCCAGGTGATGATATTACTGTCTACAGCACGATCGGAGAACAGCAAGGTGGTTGTGGCGTAGTTTAACAACTGAAAAAAAACATACATTGGCTAATGTATTGGTATTATCATTTCAATTTAATCATTAACATTATTTACTTTAAACATACAAAAGACTCTTGATGTTTGTAAGGATCATAAAGCTTGAGTTGGCATTAAATCAGTGATGGTCCATATGAAGGTAACCAGTCTCATTAAAGTCAGATCTCTCACTACCATATGATCCCTCTCTGCATGAAGATCTGAAGACACATAGGAGGTCGTCAGGAGTACTTTCTAATAGGGCTGGGACCAGTCCAAATTTACCACATGGGTACCTGACCCCCTATTACCCGACCCTACCCGGGTACCCACTGTAGGTCTCAAGAGTTGGGAACAAAATTTCTGATTGGGAATTATTTTACCATGGCCATGGCAAAAACTGTTTAGATACAGGTATCAAACGATCAGATCATGCGTACACTGAAGTTGACTGAAGCGTTATCTTTACTCAAACATATACAAGTCAAAAAGTATGTGTGCATCGTCAGAAAGAAATGCGATCATTAGCGACTTGAAGTGTAACCACTGAGCTATAGTGAGTTTTTGTCATTAAACAATATATTACATGAATAACCAGGGGTCTGGGTAGTACTGTGGGTACCCAGGTCCTGAGTTACCCGTCCCAGCCCTACTTTCTAATCTAAACACCATTGGCTTATATCCAACTACTGCCACACTCATTTCGAACTTGTGGTTTCGGTAAAAATCTATAATTTTTTTAGAAAACCACCAGTCCCTCTAGATTGATACTAGCCTTGGTCTAACAGACTAGTGGCTATGTCTATCCCCAATAAGTGAGCGAAGCATCCAGACAACCTTTCAGATTTCTATATCTCAAAATTGAAAATAATCCAAATGCATTCAATAAAGCAGTGACTATATCGTTGTGGATGAACATCCTGTCCTTTATGAGTGCCATGGCATCTCAACCCACAAAGGCACATTAACGAGGTAATACTTGTGTACTGTGGCAGTTGTCTTTTGTTATTCTAAATTGAACTGGTTAAGAAATGAAGCCAGCATCTCATTGGTTCAAGAAATCACAGATTCTTCATTTGGATTGGACAGTCAAAGTTCTCCCAGTGTTCACATGGCACGACCTCGTGTAGCGGTGTCGTCAGATTGTCATGCCTAGAGGGCTTGTATACAGTGTCTGAAAATATCTGCCTGCCTGTAACAGGTAACTTTTCTGTCGGGCTGCATGAAATTTTCCTCCACATGCCTGACTGTCTGGCACATAACTTTAAGACTACGTACGTATGCAGTTTTATTATAACTCCATGTAGATTCTCAAGTCATTGTTAAATGTTTGCATTATTTCAACTGAATCAAGACTTGAATTGTCTCTTAGTTTTTGAGAGTTTTTTAATATTCATAATGCCTGAGTGCGGGCAGTTAATTTTGAAGATGGGTAGGCAACACTTTGGGTCACCAACCCGACTGTCCTGTTTGGTTTTTTAAATTATTTCAAACACTGCCTGTGTACCACTAAAATTACAAATCCTTTAACTCGAACTGATCAAATCAGTGTCCCTGGCAAATATCATACACAGTAAATACATTCTTCTAATAAACTCTATAGAATACTACTCTTTGTTTTAAGATACTTCTTAAAAGTTACTAAAGTCAGTTCAAATTCTCAAAAGTGTAAGACAATACACCATGTACAATGTGTCGATGCATTCACCTTTGCCTTGACCTCCTCATCAAATACAAGACTGTCCCATATTCCATGGAAATCAGAGGACGGAAGGAGCCAGTGACTGGCTGCAGCAAGATCTTCATCATCAATCTCCTCCTGGCCCGGTCCGTCATCGTGAAGTTGGAAGACATGGATATGGAGTATACATGAGGTCAGGTCAATAGCCTGAAACACAACAATTAAATCACGACATCATTTTCAGTCAATTCTAGTGTTATATGGACAATTATGAGCTGTTTACACGACAGACTAGTGGATAGGATAAATCTGTAGACTGATGTCATGAAACTTAGAAGACCCAACATGTATTAATATTATAGCTGTTTCCAACCATTCACTCACCAACTGGACATTCAGACTATCCCTATTCCAAGTAGGGCTGGCTAAAAGATTGATAATCAGAATTATAGTTGATGGAAAGAAATATTAACTATTGATATGAAAATTGCGTCATTGAAAACATCTTACACAAACTGTTGTGATGAAATAAAGTCTTAATTTACTGAAGCAGACCGATTTTACCATTGCCGAAGACAGCATGCAACTGATTTTGTTATATCCTAAATGTCCACAAAGTGAACCATGCATGAATGTGTCACCAATCATCAGTGACGTGAAATATGTTGTTTTTTGTCTGAGCTTTTTGCATATTTGCTCAAAGTTACTTCTCCGATATTTATCGATAACGGATTGTTATTTAGTTTACAATTAGCGATCTTTAAGATTTATATCGATAGCCAGCCCTAAGTCAAAGTGTACTACACTCACTTTTCGACCTGTGTTGGACAGATCTGTATCACATAAAGATATGGACTTGACATGCTCCGTCAGGAAAGCATCGTCATACTCGGTCACTGTAAAGTCTCCATAAGCAACTTTCTGTTTCCTCAATGCAGCCAGCACATGTTCCTGAACCAGAGACACTCTGGCAGTGCTACAAGTTCACAGAAAAGTGATAGAAATTAATCATGTTTAAACAGGCTTTCCTCAGGCAAGTTCATTGATTTGTGAGAATCGTACCAGCACCATTGTCTTGCCTCCACTCACTGGCAACTCTGTTGAAGCTGGTGAAGAGAGCTCTCTCATCTCAGTTGTGGCAAGTCTTAACCAAATACCAGGTACAGTGATTATAGTGTCTTGTAAAACCATAGCAAGTGTCGTCAATCACAAAGTAAGCACTTGTTGTCTGTGACCCATGTGAGAACAGCATGCTGAACAGTGACAACAGAGGTTGTTGTCAGTATCGCCAGCATCACCAACACCTTCCCAATCCACTTGAACATTATTCAGGTTACCATGGTTAACATAGTCGCTAAATGCAGCTTGGATTCGGGGACTGTCACAATAACTCTCCAGAGCTCCAGATAAGCTGCGTATCTGCGTAAAATACGCATCAAACATGCCGAAATATGCAGTAAAATAAAATCCAAGCGTATCAAATACGCAACGAACATTACAGATACACTAAAAAATAAAACTTGTGCATATCATCAAAATATTGTGAAGTAACCCTGCGTATTCGATTAGCAAATCAGCAACTTATTTTGAAATTATAACCGGACATTCTGTCAACCTTGCCACGATGACAGTTACATCATGATCATTTGCCATCACACTTTCTTATGGAAGTATCGTGGTATTTTTGAGTCCTATAAAGCTCTCGAAACCACACGACACCAGTTTGCAGGGACTTGATGAATAGTGTTTTTAAATATTTTACTTAAATACCCACATGTGTAAAAACTAGTGGGTAACAGAAATTTGAATACCCAGATAGAATTACTGATACCCAATGATTTAAAAATGCATGGGTAAAATACCCACAACACCAAAAGATTATCTGGAGCTCTGACTCTCACATCCATACAAATCACTCGCTTGAGTCACAACATGATATATATACTAGCTAGCGACCAATTATTGCCAACTCCCTGTTATAGCACATGTGATCTCATCTTGTTTTACTTCTGCTATGTTTCATTGGATTGGAAGAGAGAAATATTTAACCAAACAAAACTGACTCTTGTGAAGAAATGTGAAAAAACAAACCATATCATCATCTTGCTCAAATACAACTAAAGAGAAGACACGCGGGCGGTGTCATGTGACTAATTCAGGTGTTAAGAAAAATCCAACAACACAACGATGCACATTCAGTTCTGTCACCGCTTCCTATCTGTCTGCCATTTCTTCCCAAAATTACAATTCTAAAACTAATTTGAGCTACTTTTTAAAAAATCCATAACCCTGTATATATCGCGAAAGCCATAGTACATTGTGCTGAGGATAAGCATGTGTAAATCGAATTTACGGAATATTGGTGTACGTTAGTCTTCAGACAACAAACTGATAAAAGCATTTCTTATTAATTGTAATGAAAATAAAACTTGAGTGCGACACAAGAGAAAATAGAAAATGTAATATGTAAATCTGAAGCAGTCTGCGTGATCATGTGGCATGTGCTGTTCAGACGATGGTGATAACTTGTACAGTTGGTTGATAGGAAGGAAAGGAGAAATTGTCAAAATATTTTTAGAAGTGTAGTCGCCAATTTGAAATTAGTGACCCGTACTGGGGTGTTCTCAGATCTTTGTTTAGCGGTAGTGAGAACAAAGATCTGATTTAATGAGATTGGGCAGAGTTCGAAATAATTTTAAAACCCAACAAGACAGTAGGACAGGTGACCAAAAGTGTTGTCTGCCCATCTTCAAAGTAACCTGCCCGCATTCAGGCATAATAAACATTGAAAATTTGCAAAGGCTAAGAGACAAATCATGTTGAAATATTGCAAACAATTACTTGAGAATCTACCAGGTGTTATAAAATAACTGAATATATATGTAGTCTTAAATTATCTGCCATATATTTGGGCAGGTGGAGGAGAATTTCATGCAGACCAACAGAAAAGTTACCAGACATGTGCAGGAAGTTATTTCAGCCACTGAGGGAGGGTAAGGGTTAGCTCTCTCTTAGAGCGAACAAATCCAATGTAATTTGATGAAAATCTGTAAATTTGAGAAAACTGAGAAAATGGCTACTACGACTAAAAGCAAACAATTGGGTGCAGATCACGCTGATTACTTGGGCCCATTATTTGTGACAGCACCTGTGGTCCCATGGTAAAGTGTTGGCTTATTATAATAGATTAACACTTTAGCCCGGCTAGTTTCAAGATGGCAACAGGAGTTCCAGGGTGCTAACTGAAATCCGAAAAAGTGTGTCAAGTAAAATGCACTTCTCCCCAGAAAGGAAACAATTATTACTTACCTACATGGGTTCTGATTGACTTCCACGTGAAACTTGGATGGACAAAGAGGTGCACTGGGTAATGCATCGCCAATTTCTGAGACTTGATCCATAGGTTAATTTACCCAAAACTTGGTCACTTAAAAATGTCTATGAAAGTATCAATAGCTAAAAAAACACAGTCAACAGGTTAAACAAACAGATGGTCACAGACTCACACCTTCAAGATTTCATTTTACTGCCTATGATGACATCCGATTAAAAGCGATATTATTGGATAGATAATGAGAATACCTATATTATATCACCACAGTTTATGCAGGAATTCGCTTATCGTTTCCATAAACATAACGACGTTTCTTAAAAGAAACTATTTCACATATAAAACATCGATATGAGGACGCGTATTTTCCTTTCAAATCTGGCGCTCTGGTACCTGCCGTAAAGGAATACCTGCTGCCAAAAATCACATATGACTATTTTACGACATATTAAAATGGATTTTTGTTGTAATTTTACGAACCTGAACAATTATTAATGCAAAACTTAACCAATTCTTTAGATGTTGAGGTCAATAACATATGAACAAGAATGAATATGTTAATTAAACAACGTCTAAAATGAAAACTTCAATTTACGACAATAGCAAGGGAACCTACTCGTCCGAACACATACTGCGCATTGATGGTGTGTATTGATGAGTGCGTCGTAAACGGTTTGGATTTTACGTGTGCATCTCCTAATACTTTAATAAATTATTTATAACTCCATGGCTGGGAATAAAAAGAATGTTGAAAGTAAAAAAATATGTTTAATAGCATATCCTGAATTTTTATGAATAAACATTAAAATAACAATGTTTTTAATAACTATTTTCTTATTATTTAAAATCGGGCCAGTTATTGTGTTTACTTATTGAGTTTGCGTACCGACCCGTGGGATCTGTGTTAGAATAAATCCCCAACATTCTATAGCTTGTCTTCAAAGCCTGCTAAGTTTAGTCTGGTGGTGGGACCCTGTGAGTTGGCTGACCCTGTGACACGGGGTGTTAGTGCTTATATCTCACCAAGATTTGATTATTTACAGACTGCCTTGATACAGCTGAATATTACTGACTGTGGTTGCGGCCTAAAACAACAACCAAACGTACCACCCACCACTTCAACGTTGAGCAAAACACCAAATTATTTGTCCCTTAAGGTATCTGTTAGAAACTATTTCCATTGACTCTTTGTCTCTTTCGAAAACATGCCAAATGAAGTAGGATAGATGCACGGTGCACAGAGGACCCTATAGCTATCGCCCAAGGCAGAGTTGCGTCCCTTAGGCGTGCCAGAATCCTATGGTCGTGGGTTCGAATCCCAGATTCACCCTGTATATATATGTTTCTGGGTTTGTCAGCACCACACCAGCTCTAGTGCGTTTCGCCAAAGTGGAAACATAAGGACTACATTGGTTCTGGGTTTTCTCCCCGATGAATCTGACACGCCGTGATGTAACTGAAATACTGGCCAAAGTGTGTTAAACCAAACTCACTAGTATATCAAATGAATGCGCCAATTTCAAACCACCGCAAAATGCACTGAACCTGTCAAAATACATTTGTCGTTTCTCGTCACTTTTAAAACTTCTATATTTGATTAGTTTTTTGTGATAGATATCTTCCCGCTTCCTAATGGAATACATGTGCAGTGAGAAATGGATTAACAAACAGAAATATGTTGGAAAAAAAGAGGGGTGCTCACTAAGCAGGTTTATACAGAGCGTGCATCCGTGACCTAATCACTTGTATACTGCCAGGCAAAAGAAAGTATACACTTGAAAATTGGATTTGACCAAAACATTACAAGCGCTCTCAAAAAGGTACTAGGTTAATAAAACAGTCGCCGAAATACTGTAAACTAGAGGTCTAAAACACAACTATGATACCCGTATATATCAAATATATCTCCATCCCAAAACCATTTCTTGTAGCCACCATCAAAGACGCGTGTATACTTTCTTTTACCCGGCAGTTTATGTTGAATAAGATTGATTGATTGTTTGTTGTTTAACGCCGCACTCGGAAATATTCCAGCCATATGACGGCGGTCTGTAAATAATCGAGTCTGGACCAGACAATCCAGTGATTGATATCCTGAAGATCGATCCACGCAATTGGGATACGATGACATGCATCAACCCAGTCAGCGAGCCTGACCACCCGATGCAGTTAGTCGCCTCTTACAAATGCACTTGCGTTTTCAGTCATCATGTTAGGCATATGCAGATTATTACCCGAGTATATTTCCGCACAGTAAATATGACATATTCGGAATAAAAATTGTATTATACCAGCCTTGGCGCGTAATGCATATATTCTATTAGAGATATATGATATTTACAATGCAGAATTCGCTCGAGTAATAATCTATTTATCATATAATGTAATTCTTAAAATATTCGATGTTTACGACGTAATTTCGCTCACCGATGTAACAGTTTATGAATGAATATATATGCAATGCATATTCGTCTGACGCGCCGCGATTTTCTATGCAGCATCGCGTTCATAAGAAACCGGTCAACTGGGTTTCTTTGATAGGCGTTTAGAAGTTGGAGTACTGAGTAAGGATAAGAATTTATGGATGAACAACTTCTTTATTACAATTAAGAATGACGTTTCGGCGAAGGTTCTAACACCGTTGTCAAGCAAGTACGATGATAACGTCGCTCTTAGTTGTAATAAAGAAGTTGTTCATCCATAAATTCTTATTCTTACTCGATTAACTAGGGTTTGAGACTCGCCCTATTTTTAAAAAAAAATTCAGCACCATATCTATTCTTGTGGATTTCACCAAAGTGATATCTAATTCCGACTTGCATCACTTTGGGCTTTCATCGAGCATCAACCTGACATGCCGTGATGTAACTGAAATACTGTTTCAATTGGCATGAAACTCACTCACTCACTCACTCACTGTATGGGACTCAGTCTGAGCCAGTACATTAATTGCCTACCTTCTACATACAGTTAAGTGGCACGATTCAAGTCGTTCTGAGACCACGTTGTTATTGGCCAACTCAAACTTTACTGTTTTTATCAATCTAACAACCATAATTACTATGATTACACAAAGAATGTCTCAGTTACACATATATCCATGCGTGGCATTAACATTAAACCTATATCGAAAGAGGCCAACCGACTGGTAGTGTTTAACTGCAAGCAAAGACATTTTTGGCCCATTTGGCGTGTCTATCTAAGCAAAATTATGTTGGGCAACATATCGCACTTAATTCGTTCATGCAAAGACGTATATACGTCTTTGGTTCATGCCATGCACCGTTTGTCTGTCATGCAGTTCTGAATCACGACCACAAATAACCCACAGGCCAGCTAACAGCTGATCGAAGCTTCCGTGTGGCAGTCATATGACTGGTCACGTGACCGCTAGTATGGCAGATAGAACTCCCACCATGGCTGGTGGTGGAGGCTCGCTACATTACACAATTGTACTTTGAAACGTGACGGTAGAAAACCCGGGATTCCCCAGTGTCAACTGACCAAAGTCCAGATCCACCGTGGCTTCGACATCATGAGCGAAAGTTCGACTGGCGAAGGTAGGTGGACTTTGCCTGACTCGACTTATCAACTTGAGCTGCGGAGAGTTCGCTTGTTGCTAGCTGTTTTCTTCATACTGTTCGCGACTCTGCCGGCGTTATCAATCTAGATCACCTACTTCGCGACGCAGAGACACTGTGTCATGGTGGCGCATAACCTTGGACATGATATTGCTGTGAAATATGTTTAAATCAAGGGACCGTATGCCTAATATTGGCTGCACGATCGTGTTGTTTACATCCCGAGTGGATGAGCGCAATAGGCCTACCATGTGCTGTCAAGTATGACTGACAAGAATAGCTAGTGTATTACAAATCCCTCGAAGGTTCATTAGCGATCTTTGGTGCGATTTCATGGTCAGTGAGCGCAGTTAATAGGTCGAACTAAAACAAGCCACTTATCATCTACCTGTTGACAGCGACTAACTGACCCGGTTACACAATGTTATGGTGTGGGTGGAGGTCTGGTTGGGGTCATGACCTCGAGTGAAGCAGATGACGCCAGCAGGGGATGGGATAATTTTACACGGAAACTTTTTGTAAGAGAATGAACTGAAACCAGCTACAATCAATGTGACACTGTTTCTTCTCAATTTAGCTCAGATGATGAGAAGGAGATTATGTTCTCGTGGTAGATATAACTTGTTGCAGTTTGTGGTCAGAAGCAGAGATGATTATTTCATTGCTTGTCAACTTATAAGACAAGTACTGTAAATGATGCAATCAGTTTTTGATAAACCCAAAGCATTCAAGCAACATTTTAATGGAACCATATTGTCTGACTTTCACTGGGAAAGCAATTCTGTCTTACCATACTCATCTTGACGTACGGACAAATCTATTGATTTATTTTTTTAAGGAAGAGAATTTCTGGATGTCAACTTCTTTATAATGAGGAACACAACGTTTCGGTGTAGATGCTTACTCCTTCATCAGGTGAATAAATGCTTTGAAGCAGAGAACCATTATATGTTCCTGTAAGAGCAACAGAAGTAATAAAATAAGAAAAGGTAGAAAGTGACATCAAAGAAATTCTCTTCCTTAAATGCATGTGTATCACTTCTGAATGCCATTCAAAGACTTTATTTGTTTGTTTCCATGGTTATATGTCTCCAAAAGAGTATAAGTGGTGGGAGTCAGCTGATCATTTCTGCATCCGAGAAGCAGTAGGCCAAGTGTTGGTATGTGGAAGAAGGAATTGTTGACTGAAAGATGTAGTTAGGGAACAGGTTGACGTGAACACCTGCTTGTTGTCAGACATCACGATACAGTACCTTGTAACTTGTAACTTATCACAGTCTGTACCAGGACTTGTCAGTCCACTCGCCCCAATGTTTCTCTTGCCATCTTTTTGAGTAGATTTTATTATTTATATATAGACTGTTATTAGCTTCTCCTACTAGACGATTTTACTAGACACGGGCTTCGGACCAGTTGCTCAAGATGCAGACTGTGTCTTAGTGATCAGATTAACACAAGAACCAGTCAGACAGTCCAAAATGATCTGAGGTCAACTATAGCATTCAATATTACTGGTATGATAAGATTTATTTTGGGAATGCTTTTGACTGGACCCTGCCATTTTATAAAGTGATACAATTTTATTATACTTCTTTTTTATCTTTTATAACAGTTTTGTATATTTGTCTTGTCAGCCTCCATAATCACCTGCCCTATTAATATTTGACTCCCTTTGTTCACCCCCCCCATCCCCCCACCCCCACTAAACACCCACATGCACTGTTGCTGATGTTGGGTCATTCAATGTTCAGTCATGAGTGTGGCATTGCTTCTGCCTCTCTGTGGGTGCAAGAATTAGCACCGACATGCAGTATTTGGGTGCATGGCTTCCAAACCAAACGAACCTCTTGTAAACATAACATGCACTTGTGACAGGCACATTTGTCAACATGCTCCTCGCATTGCATGTCACCATCATTACCCTTTACATTAGACCTCAAAGAACGAG